GGAGAGCAGAAAATTACCAATAAGTTGATTCAATAGAAGCTCAAACATCCCCCCTCCTTTCTCCTGGGCAACCCTCTGCAAATTTGAACTTTTGAGGATTTGGTAAAGAAAATTGGAGCTTAAATGACCCCAAAAGCTGACTCTTTACCTTCAAAATCCTCCATATTTAGAATCAAAACTCATGTTTTCCCACTGCTTTAAATTACCCACCCCACCCAGTGAAGGTTCAAATGTCCTTCCTGAGAGCACGGAAAAGAAGGGGGAGGGGGGGGTTTGGAGGTGTGGATGTTGAAGCTGTAAACTGATTGGTGCATAAACCTCTGTAAGTCAGCGTGGAAAACTCACAAAATGCAAAAGAACAAATGTAAGTAAGAAACTATTTTTATTAAAAACTAGATCATCAAACTTTAAATCCATTCCCATACAAATCCATCATCTTTACCCTTCGTGCAACATAAACATATAATTATACATACTAATCACCTATATTAGGCTCATTGTATGAGCTAGGGTTACCTATAGTAGGTGTCATGACCAAAAAACAAAAAATCTCTTGTGAAGAAGGAATTTTGTTATGATTTTAAGGTTAATGCATCTGAAAAACTAAAAAACCTTCTTACAGCTATCAATAGCACTGAAACAGGTTGATAAGGTCAGTTTCTCCTGACCTTTTTATCCCTTTAAATTTTCACTATAAATTCACTAACTTCATTCCTGCCCTTAAAAATTTTTTTCCCTAAAATATTCCCAATCTGTAGCAATCATACAAAGAGAATTTAATTTCCTATTCAATCCAAACCATATCATATTTTATTCTAATCCTAATTGGGATATTGTATTTAGCAAAGGGAAAATTTTAACAACCATTTGGTTGTTAAACATTTTAGGTGGTGTGGCCAAGTGGTTAGGGGCCTGGACTTGTAATTTGGTGGTCCCAGTTTTAAGTCCTCCACCTTGCCATTCCCTACATTTGTTTTTGGTCGCCCTGAGTTCAACCCCTTGGCTGTGCTGTGTAAATAACCACCTGGTTTGCCTCCTGCCAGTTGGGACTTTCAAGTTATTGTAAAGCGCTATTGAATAGCAATAGAAATAATGCTACATAAATAAAATGTTATTATCATCATCACTACTAATTTGTATCACTCTTTCACGTTAAATAACTCTATTTTTCTAAAAGCTTTTTAAAAGCATTCTTAATATTCATAGCTTATTTTTGCAGAAACACATAATTGAATAATAACAAAAATTCATTCATAACCTTAGTCTCTCTTTTCAAGCAAACCAATTGAAACTTTCCCATTAATCCCATTTAAATTGCAGAAAAAAGAATTGTTTCAAAAACCCAAATCTTTATCATACCAACAAAACAAAGCTTCATAGTCTAATACTCATACAAAGTACAATAATTCATCCATTCAATTATAAATAAATGAAAGTTAAATAAAGCAAGTATAATCCTTCATGACATTTAAAGAAGTCACTGCAACAAATTGTACAGCTTTAAAAATTTGAGGTCCATGTATGGCTCATTTTAAAACTGCCATGAAATGCTCAAATCCAATTGCAAACCAGTTTCAATTTGTGTCACTTGCTTTTATGCACAAAGTTCAAGAGGATTTGTCTCTGCAACATGTTCCTGCAATGTATTACAGTCCTTACAGTGTATCTTGGTTAACCCTTTAACTCCCAGATCAAATTTGTTATTCTCCTTATTGTCAACCATACAATTCTTATAATGTTAATTCAGAGAATTTAGTATTGGATCAACTAACTATCCCCAAATTGATATTTTTCTTTAGTCTCATCACTCATCTGGTTGATAGTTTACTGGTAATGCAAGGAGAAATTCTGTCTTGGTCACTCATAGGAGTTAAAGGGTTGAGGTATTGAATACATCTGCTTTACCAAGCTTTAGTAAAACCTCACTTTGATTACTGTGACATTGTCTGGGGTAGCTGTGGGATAACGCTACGAGATAAGCTGCAGAAATTACAGATTAGAGCAGCCCGTGTTTTTACATTTTCCAGCTATGATGCCGATGCGACTAAGCTACTTGAATTTTTAAGTTGGAAAAATCTGACAAGCCAGCAGGAAATTCATAGAGTTACCATGGTTTTCAAATGTCTGCACGGGCTAGCTCCTGAATATCTTAATTCTAAGTTTAGATGGCGTAACTCTGCTTATGACCTCAGGGACTCTGAAAATAAACTCAATGTTCCTCTACCTCACACTAACTATTATCAAAAAAGCTTTAGCTATAGTGGAGCCACATTATGGAATAGTCTTCTATGTGATATAAGGAACACAGAGTCTCTGGGGTTATTTAAACGCAAGATCAATGCCACTCTATAACGCACGGCATTCACGGAAAACAGCTTTTAGTTATTAGTTAGTGTTTTAATTTTTAAACAGTTTTAGTTAATGTAATTGCTGATGAATTGTTTCGCGCTTAAATAAAGATTATACTAATAATTTCTCAACCCTCTCTGATTCAGAAACACATACTTGCACTTAAGGCAAGATGGAGAAGCTGCTATATGTAAATACATTTCTCACTAAACAAGGGAAGTAATTTCCTTAGGCTCTACACTGTTGACTCACTAGAATCTAATTGCACAGCAATGTTTTCAGGATCACTTTGTCTTCTGCTTCTTTTGCAGTAACATCAAGACAGTAATGCTATTAATACTGCAAGAACCACAATGGGAACAGATATGATAGCCTCATATCTGTTGCCTGTTCCTAAAAATAAGAAATGACATGAAAAAACAACTTAGTTACACGTTCATGGGATTATTTTCAGGATTATTTAAACACTTTTAGACAATCTTTTAAAATAGGGGAGAAATTAAAGTTCATTGCAGTGTAACCCCCCAGAATTTTATTAGTAACAAATTATTCCATTACAGTCAAGCCTAATTGGATAAATTGAATTGCACATGAACACAACACAATGACCAATTAGGCTTCAAACCCAGACCTCTCAACCTGGAGTTCAATGTTCTAACACTGATACCCCACCCCATCTCCCACATGTTTCTTTTGAATCATCATTCAAATTCTTGGGTTGATAATTTCCCAGTCGACAATTCTCATTACCCTTCTAGTCAGAGGTTGTGATGAACATTAAATCTACTAAACATAATTTTACCAGACCTGTAGTTGGTGGCCTGGCAGTGTTTTGAACACTTGAAGATGAACCAGTTAAGGTAGTGCTTATTGGGGGTGGAACCACTGTAAGAAAAATAAACAACACTCACAAAAAAAATCTCAGTTACATGGAAAAGATTAAACATTCTAAGAAGGATAATTAAAAGGGTACTGATAGCAGGCCTGTTATTTAACCCAATGACTAAATTAAATTTGCAATGAACTCTACCTAAGGTTGTTAAGCTTCCAGACAGAATGTTAATGTCAACACTTGAAGTAGGCCTAACTAAAATTGTTGTTTCCATTAAACAAGAAAAAAGAAATTGATCAGATATATTTAAGGAAAAAATATTATTAATTCTTGGGGTTTTTGGTTAAATATGTAAATGTTCATACAACAGATATAACAAAGAGGACTTTAAACCTTTAAGAGTAACCTCTAACAATCTTGTTTATTACACTAACTAACTAATTCTATCATTCTTAAAAGATGCACTAATTTATACAACAGAGTCAAATTGTTTCAGCACAACTGCTTTGTTTCATTGGAAAAAGTGGTTACAGATCTCCAATGTGACCAACAAATATTCAAGAAAAAATGGGAGCATGAGAAGCAAGTCTGGACTAATTAAAAACCTGGATTATCAAGGTCTGAAGAATCAAGGTTTGAATGTAACCATTTATACTCCTGGATGGGTGGACACACTAGATACTATAGTGAAGTGTTTTGTGTTCTTGGGCAATTTGCCCAAGAACACAACACAATGACCAACCAGGCTTCAAACCCAGACCTCTCAACCTGGAGTTCAGCATACTCTGGGTTAAGAGGTCTGGTCTGGTTATGCAAATTTCCATACAACAGATAACAAAGAGGACTTTAAACCTTAGAGAGTAATCCCCAACAATCCTGTTAATTACACTAACTAACTAATTCTATCATTCTTTGAAGTTGCACTGATTTAAAGAATAGAGTCAAATTGTTTGACAAATGCTTTGTTTGATGGGAAAAATGTGGTTACAGATCTCCAGTGTGACCAATTAATATTCAAGAAAAAATGAGACCATGAGGGGCAAGTCTGGATTATCAAAAAATGCAGGTAATCACAACTGTATTTCTTTTTCACTATTTCTTCCCTTGTATTTTTTGCCATTAATAATCAATAAGCACTACCCCTAGATGTGCCCCTATCCTCTCCTCTCTGATTACTTGAAGTTAAGGCCAAACTTTTTTCTCATAGATAACTTGTATTATACAAATTATTTAAATATACTGGAGTGGAGGAAAATAAGAAAAGTACAAAAATTTGCTGACTCTCATTTCCTTACAAGGCTATAATTTGTTTGTCATGAGAATTAAAGTTACCAATATGCCATTGCCCCTTTTTTTTTTAATTGTGAGGAGAGCCCATATGGTGATCCCTCCTGATATTTTTTGAAACAAAAAGATTTTAGCATACCTGAGATTGGTGTCCTAACAGTATTGTTAGCAACTGCTGATACAGTACTTAACACTACAGGGGAAGGTACGATGACTGCGAGAAAAATCAAAGAAACAAGCATATAATAACAAACTCAGTTTAGGTGGAAAAGTGTCAAGATTTTGTACATTATGATCTGCAAGTAATCTAAAGTAACCTATTTTAAAAGCAGACTTATCTGCTTCCTGACACCCAACCCTTTTTGATGTTCCCATCTGCACTTCATTATAATCAAAATTTTCATGGGAAAAAGCAGAGGTGAAGGGATAGAAAAAACAATAATACTCTTCTGTAGAAGCAGATTATCAAAGAAAATTAGCTGGCATCAGGGTGGACCAGGTTTTTCTCTTTAGTCTCATCTTTTACTTAAATCAATAACTGACAATGAAAATGAAGCAGATGAAAGCAAAGTTAAGGGATCAGCTCACAAATGAAGGACCTACGAGTGTACACGCTGATATTGCATGACCATCCATAGTACAAATTTATGTCTTTAATTCATAACCAAGGCTGTTATCATCACTTTCCACTAAATTTTCAGTCACCTACCTCTTACAATTTTGATTTCTTGAGGACTACATGGTGATAAGCCCCCCAACGCATGTGTCAGAGTGAAATTCCAATGTTCATCTCTAGAGAGATTTCTTAACTTTACAAGAATAGTTGTTGTGTTGCTGAAGAATTCTAATCTCTTGTGGCACAATTCCTCCAGACTTGGATCTTTTATATATGCACTGCAACTCATGTTTAGGGAATGTCTGGGCAATGATGCAATGACTTGTGAATTTACTGTAAGGCGGTTGCCACGTTCACCACCAGATGTTCTATTCCATGCCATTTGGGCTGATTGTCCCTCTTTAACATAGATGTGTTTTTTGGAAACTAAAGAAGATAAAAAAAATACATATTCTTTTTTAAAACATAATTTCATCAATCCTTTTAAAATAATCCACATTCCTGATAAATTAATTAGTTAGAATATAGTATCCTCTCAATAAACCTGACCATTGGGATAATTTTTAAGTATTTTGAAGTCCATTTTTAACTCAACAGTGGAGTGATAAGTACTGTCAACCTTTTACTAAGCTCACAATCATACTAACTTTCAACCCCAAAAATCATAAAAAAAGTAGAAAGAGATTGTGCAAACAATTTTTCAGGGGCAAGTAAATCAACCATTTGCCAAAGTCTTTGTCTACTTACTCATAATGAGTCCTCTCAAGAAACCACAGAGTGCCTACATCAGAGCTCCAAGTCTCATGTATTGAGTGTGAGACTGAGACACTCGAACAAATTCAATCTTATGCTCTCATGCTGAAGCCATTATTTCTCACTCATCTCAGGTTTCTGATTAACTGCTGTTTTAGTTACCAGTAAGTACCTAACTAATTAATTGACCTTCCAATTATGATTAACTCCTTGTTCCCTTTATACTTGCATTGAACATTTTCCATAGTGGAAATTCTCACACAGAATTAAGGAATGCACATCTTAGCTTCTTCATTTGGCAGACAGTAAGGAAAATTACTAATGTGATCTTGGGAATTAAAGGGTAAACACCAATTGACTCGAGAGGCAAAAAATATGCATTATGAAGATGTAAACACAATAGTTTTTTCAGAGAGCATTCCTTTCAAATGTAAATGCCCACATTGTGGAACATCTTAGACCTACAAGTAGCATAGTGTACCAACTTTAGAAATAATGTTAATTTGACAAACTGTTATGATGTTGTTCAAATAAAGTTTACTACAGGTGCATCACTCACCACATGGATGTGCATTGTGTTGATCTGCTCCTGTGTTGCTCTGATTTGTATTGCCTGCAGCTGAAAAGAGTAAAAGATATACCACCTTGATAATTATTATAATAATAATAATAATAATAATAATAAATTACTACGATGAACAAGCACGACCTTTTTAACGAAAATTACCTCGTTGCTGTTAACATTTTGATTAGTTTTTACAATACGATCTCCTTTTCGATCTTGTCATGAAAGTGAGGAAATGAGAAACTGAGCTGCAAGATTGCTGACTAAACAGCACGCCCAGCCACAAACGAGTAAACCATGTTCGGTTTCTCATGAGCGAAATCAGTCAAATGCCTTGTGTACAATTCAATCAATTTTAATCTAAGATGCATTTGGTAAATAGGCTAGATAGCTTCCAAATCAGTTAAAGAAACCCTCAACAAAGCCAAATCGATCTCTAATTTGGCCGAAGAAATCATTCCATTCCGCTTGCGGGATGAACGAACGAACGAACGACAAACACACTGCAAACGCTTGACTACGATCTTGAGTCCTCTTATTGAGATAAATTTAGAGACAAATCATGCAAGTTTGCTTACCCTGGAGCACCATCAACAATAAAATAAAGCACAAGGTGAGGAAACGAATCATACTGATCAAAAAAAGACGTGAAATTGTCAATTATTCTGAGTACTGTATTCTCTGTCTCTCAGTCTTGAAAGAAGCCAATGAGAATCGAAAGATCACCCACGTGATTTACAACCGTGTATATAATTATAAGAAAGCGTGAACCCACGGGCTGTGAACCTTTGTTTAGCTGTGGAAATTTGAAGACTTCAGTGCTAAATCTTCTCATGGAAAAAAAAATTAAAAAGTTATTCGCTGGTTGATAAAAATCGTCCACAGTTAAACGGGAATAATCTCAAATCGCCAGCAGTACCAAGGACGATGAGAAACTACGTCTTTACAATATATCAGTTCAAGCCCAAACTTCCTCAAAAAAACCACTCACCCACTACTGAACAAGCCCCTGAAAAAGAGAAGATTCTTCCCATCGAGCTTATGGGAGGAGAGTGCAGTTAAAGACTAAAGAAATGGAAATTTACCAGAGCTTCTGACTCCTACAGAGTTTATGCTATCATAGGCCAGATTGAAATGAATCAATTAAGCAGTTTCTCACAGGGATAAGTTGCGGGTAATCTTCGGGAAATTGCGGGAATACTTGCACAAACCCAATTGAGTACCCTAGTGAAAGGGTGATGGCCAGTCTTGCTTGTCCCTTGCTTTCTCCCATATTCATGCGTAGAAAATAAATGGTTGTTTATCCACAGTAAGAGGGAGTCCACTTTCTTCCGAATACCGCTGACCCCATATTAATGGACAGGAGCCCAATTACCCAGAGCCTCCATAGGCTCATAATTGTCACGGCAAGTTTGTAGTGCCGTGACTTTTATGTTTTGCCGTGACAGTTGTGGGCCACCGTAACCCTGTCCCGTATCTTTTTACTCGGGCTTCTGCAGGAAAGCTCGAGTCTTAAAATGCGGAAAGCACACTCCGACATCCGTCAGAAGGAGGTCATCTCGGGTAGATTTCCGATTACGAAATCCGAGCTCGCCCGATGTTGTCTTCGTGATGAAGGCCTTATTTAGCATATTAGACCCGCAAAACAGAGTAGAAACGAACACGTGCTTCGTTTTCGCTCATGACTTCGTATTAGGCGTAAGATATTTACATTTTTTTCCGTTGCTTACCTATATTACAGACTCCAATAAATTTCTGCGATGCCTCCTTTTCACGGATGGCCGATTACAACTACAACATAGTAACACCTCCACGAAATCTGTCAAAAGGAGGATGTTACAACACCAGAGGTCATCTCGGGTAGATTTCTGATGACGAAATCCGAGCTCGCCCGATGTTGTCATGAAGGCCCTATTTCGCATTTTAGAGCCGCAAAATAGAGTAGAAAGGAACACTTACTTCGTTTTCGCTCATGACTTTGTATTAGCGTTAAGATATTTGCATTTTTTTCCGTTGCTAACCTATATGACAGATTCCACAAAATACATTTGACGCCTCCTTTTCACGGATGGCCGATCACAACTACAACGTAATGACATCTTCACGAAATCTGTCAAAAGGAGGATTTTAAAACACCGGAAATCTTCTGGATTTCTGATGAAATAAATTTAACGCAGTTACGTTCAGAGTTTAAGCGATATATTGTTATTTCTAATATGGTAATTGATAAAAAATTGTACATTACCTCGATTGGACGGAGATTAAGTTTGAATACAATGTAGCAAGCGATATTACTTTTGTCGACAAGGATAATCCGTGACTTGTCTCACCTATTACATTTTCTCTATCTGCGTTGTGCCATGATCATCATTGAAAATATTCTACGATAATATTTTTTACAATATTTAGATGAGGATTTTCAATTCTAAACGCAAGAGCGTACTTAGGGAAAGATCTATAAGAAACAGTTTCTCATGAATACATTTTAAAAATTCTTTTAGCTGACTTCTACATAGATAAAAAATTACCACACATATATATTTCACTTCGACGATTATCTTAATAAACAATTAATGGGAAGTTCTGAGAATCAGTTTTTAATACTACATGTTAAATTAATGGTTATTTTTTCTCTTCCTGCTTAAGGGCTCTTTCGCAGTTTGGACAACGCCAGTTTGCACTTGAATCTTCCAAAATAATTGTTGAAATGCATTTCCTGAGAAAAAACTCCTTGCAGCTTCAACATTTCACACAACGAGAAGGAGACTTCGAGTCTGACTCTTCCCTCGGCATTCTACACTCGCACATTACCGAGACCTCTTGAAAAAAAAGTGGCCTCCTGTCTCGACACTCGGGTACTTTAGAGAGGGGAAAGGGGTCGAATGATCCACTCTCCAGGCTCTTTAAAAGATGTTGTCTTATCAGCTTCCTGTCAAATGTCAGATTAGAAGGATTGAGGCCATGTAGTAGCGAAACCAGAAAAGCAATAGCATAAACTCCACAGTCATCGGAATTGTTCTGGTGTTGCACATTTGGTACAATGACCTTAAAACTGGTTCCTTCCTCGTATATAATTGATGCAATCTGTTTCTGCACGAGGGCTGCAATTCTTCCCGAAAACAGGCTGTCGTACAGATAAACTACAGAAGGAGTGTAGCATCCTACAGTAGATACCAACACCCAATGATGGCTGCCAGTATTCAGGATTTGTGAAAATTGGTCTTTTTGAACAGAAAAATTAAAAATAGGCCCCAAAGTTGTATTTTCCAATCCTCTTGCGTGAGGGAACTGTTCCCTCAGAACAGACTGAGCTGCACCTACAATATGGTCGGTGAGCCAGTCTCCAGTTGAAATGGTGCTAATGTCCTGTTCCGAGAGATGGAATTTACCGGCCTTTGAGGCGCTTCTGTGAGAGGTCTTTACAAATTCTACTTCATCATCTTTTTTGTTTTGCTGGGCCAGGTTTGTGTTCGTTGTCGCGTTTACTGTAAGAATGATGCATGTGTTTGCAGTGCTGGTTGTGCTCGAGGTTGTGTTAATGGAGGAGATGGTGTTTGCGTTTGCGGTGCTGGTGATGCATGTGGTCGTGTTTGGTGTGTAAGGGGTGCTTGCCTTTACAGTTTGATTGGCGTTTGAATTTGAACCATTAGAGTTATTCACGTTCACACTGCGGTTTATGTTTACTTGAGCCTCGGCGCTTGAGTTGGCATTCTTGATGTGTGCGAGTTTTGGCTGTTTGGCAGGCTGGCGTTCTATATCGTTTAAGCTGACGTTATACCCCCTATTCATGTTGTTTGCTCTTTCCCCTACACGTCCAGTGAAAAGATTTTTCTTCTGAGATACTGGCAGCCTTTTATAGTCTACTTTCTCTTTTTTCATCCTGCGCGAATTCTTTTTCATAGTAGACTTCAGGAGAGGAGCTTCCAGAATGATACCGTCCTCCTTGGGGGCTGTTTTCTGCAGAAGGTCGAGACACTCTTCAAGCTTTTCCTGAACTTGCCGTAAACTCCCACCAACTTCTCACGCCTCTGCAGTGTAGGTCAGGTTTTTTATCTGACCCAATAGTTCACGACATTTTGCAGCATGGGTTCGGGGTCGTAAAGTCGATTGAGGTATATTTTCAAACTGCGACGATTGCTTCTGAAGATCGTGAACCTCGTCATGCACACATGGAGGTGAGTCGACTACTTTCCCATCGGCAATACCGTCGCCTTCTTCCTTTTCACCTGCTAAGAGCACATCTCTATCGACACTGAAGAATGGGGAATCTCGATATTCTTTTGGAAGTCTATCGAACGACCATGACGGGACGTGCTGGAATACGGCAAAAAAATGTTTGCATGGCAGCCGTTGCCTCTCCCAATCAAAGCACTCACAGCTTGGCTGCTTAGTCCCAAACATGACTTTCAAGTCTTCATGGTCGAATCCTAAGTCTCTCTTCATCAAGTTTTAATCATGGTATTCTAGTTCTAGCTTGTCTTCTTTTAAATCAAACTTTCGCAGCGAAAGAAACATATTAAACAAATTTCGTATTTTAATAGCTAGTGTTGCTAAGATCATGGACAGTTGGCTTTAAGACACCTACATTATATGCAGCTACAGCAGAGGTTACCACATTAAATAACAGGAAAAAATCTCAAAAAGACTTCGTGTTTTTCCAGCCAGAGGACAATCATGAAACAAGGATAGCCAAAAGAGAAAAAGTAAAAAAAGAATAACAAGTTCAAACACGAGTTGAAAATGACTTTTCTTTTTAATGTTCTACACTTAGCAGAGGAGGTTGAAACGTTAGAGGAAAACGGTGAGGCTAGCAGTCATATCTGACAAACTCAAGAGAAGATACAAGAGAAGCCCATACGATTCTGGCGTATTGTTTTACTGACTCACTGTTCTCAAGTGTATACTCTTCAATGGACCGGAGATGTCTTACGCGAAATAGTTTACCTTCGTTTCTTTCAATTTTGGCTCATTTCACCAAACCGAAATTATCAGTCGCGTTCTATAGAATGTAATTTAAACTGATGCTGACATCATACAATTCAACTGAAGAAGAAAACATTCCCTATTTTCGAAAATTTGCTCAAAACAGGAACAGTGGAGAACGTCCTCAACTGCTTGACGTTATACCGCTGACTAGCATGTGTGTTCATCGCTTTGCAAGTTGTGACATCCTCCTCAGGTTCCAGACCTCGTCACTTCCTCCCCCTCCCCAACCCCGGACTGGTCCCTAAATCCCCTTGAAAAAACTCTTGTACAGCGAGTGTTGAAGAGTTTTATTACAGTTTTTTTTTAAATAAAGGGCTGGAAAATAAACTAACAAGGGGTCCGCTTTTAGACTTGGCTAGATCTATATAGTATAAATTCCTACCAGCTTATAACTTGGGCAGTATTCCGACTTTCTGTACAATGAGGATGCATTTAAGTTTCCATCCACGACGTGATTGAATCGAATGTCGGTCGCCTGGATGGCTCTTGGTCCCAGCACTGAAGCATCAATTTATACCTGTGAGAATCAAGTGATCATGTTGTCAAGATGACAACTTTCTCCTTCTATGATCAGTTTTCGCGAGATACATTAGGGAAAATTTGTGATTTGCAAGCTCATGGTTGACACAGACGTGACCAATTAAAAACATTTGTGAAGTCATGAGTCAGTCTTTTCTCACCAAGCCTCGATGTAACCAGCCGCTTAGTAAAAAACAAATGGTATGACAAAATTTCAATCGTTGGGCCAAAACCCGTCATTATAATGACATGTGTGGCGATGAGCCTTAATGATACGAACGCAAGGTAAAATAGAGATCTATTCCTTAGGTTAGTAGAACCTTTTGGAAAATTATTTACATGAAGGCAACGCACCTCATCAACTATAGCTTTTAATACAGCAATTTTCAATTGATTGTCGAAAGTAATCCGGATTGTACTGGTTTTGCTTTTCTTTGCTATTTGATTGGTCCAGAAAAATTGCGCCTCTCTCTCAACCAATCAAATACAAACTGAAGACAATCAGGAATTCATCACCCGCGTTTTCCCGCGCTTTCGGCAGTTTGCTCGTTTTTACTTTGAGATCTGGTTAGCTCTTTGAGATATTTTCTTTCTTCTGATAAGCCAATGATTATTATTATTATTTTTTAAGATATTTAATCCAAAAGCGTTCTTTAACGCAAATTGTAACTAAGGCCTATTCATAAGTGTGAATGTAGATGGAACGTGATTTTACGTACAATTCTCGGCTCACTCAAGTTAGCATTTCTTCGAAGACCTTAAGAGATGTCAGCTCCCAGAAAGCTGAAAAAAAAAGATTGTGTAGAAAAGATGGCGCTGAGTGATAACAGACTTGCAAATTTTCTTTTCAGTAGAGTGAAAGGTTTGAAACCTAAAGCAGCAGTTGATTGTATAGTCTACTCGTCTGGGATATGGTAGTTCTGAAAAGGAACTACTATTCCCGAATGATCACAGTCATACTTTCTGTTAACAGGTTCGATACCAGCCCCTTCACGATCGCACTTGAAATTCCTGTTTAACAGTCTATAATTAGCTCACGACACGGGTGATTGTCCGGTCTCCTCGAAAAGAGGTGACCTAGTTAAGTTGATATCGTGTCATCCTCTGGCTTTCTCCGCCATCTTACTGTTTTTACTCCGAAAAAAAATTGACGACGCTTGAAATTGGAGTCCAAATAACCTCAAGTCTCCCAAAAACCTAGAAAATTTCTACTTACCGAGTGTGAATATCTCATGTAGGACGATGCCATAACTCCACCTGAAAAAGGGAAAGACAAAAAGAAAGACAAAAAAGTACTTCGTATATCATATTACCGCTATCTGTCTCACGTGATTATCACTATTTTTGGTTTTCGAAGAGTCTCATGTAATGTAGACTATCGAAAAATCTATCGTACCCAAGGAACTTTCCTCGCTTTCATACCTGATCAGGTAACTACTCAGCAGGAAACAGTCGGATGGGAAGCATGAAGATTTGATTTCACGTTAAAGAGACATTGAATTCTTAAGAAATGCGCTGAGTAAATATCCATTTGGGAAAGTGATATCACTTTTAATTCAAGCTTATCAATCTACTTACACATCACTTTCTGCGGTAAAAATTTGTTTTGTTAGTGATTCAACTGCCATCCACTTCACTGGTACAACTCCCTGTAAAATAACGCAATAACAATTTAATCACCTTCGGTATAAAACCAGAATAAGTGTTTTGTGAGTTCAGTTGTCAATAAAGTTTTAAGTTCCTCAAGTCTGAGACACCAGGGTCAATGTGATCAAGTCTGAGAAGCAATGAATTTTAAAGGTCGCGGGAGAGTGGGGTGGTGGGAAGCAGTGCGCACTCACCGAACCTGTTAGTAGGTGCATGCTTACTTACATTGGACCTCCTAACATAAATTTTATCTTTGCCAAGATCTCTCGCCATTCCAAAGTCAGTGATTTTACAGCGCAGACCCTCGCCAACCAACACGTTCCTCGCTGCTGAGTCTCGGCGAACGAACTACGAGTGAACAAACAATTTGATGAATAATATTTCTCCCTGTGTTTAACCTCGTGTAGTAAATTTCTCATCACCATCGTTTTGAATTATCGTTATTCATTGAGAATTGACCTCCACGAGGGATTTCGCAGTTCAGTTTGAACTGTTGTATTTCCAATTTTACACTTGCACCTCTTATTCTTAATTCGTAACTTTGTGTTTGTCCAACTTAGTTAGTTTCAAGTTAGTTTCCTCTTAAGCGTTATTAACACGAGTAAATGTCTGTTGGTATGTAAGCTAGAAGTATAAAAATTGAAATATCGCGCCTGGAAAAAGTGCATACTTGAGTTTAGTATATGCTAAAACCGTGGATAGTGTTGAAGACGCGTTCTGATTGGCTTCTCAAACTCCAAATAGCCTTTGCTATTCACCTCCGAGCAACTCGCGCTGGACTTAAGCCCGAAAATATTGTAATCGTTGCAGGAATAAATGAGATAAAATCATCTTTTGTGCTATGTTAATTATCTCAGTGTTTTAGTTTACACTTACACAACTTTTCATTTCAGTTGCAGTGGCTGGCGTTAGATATTTAATTGTTAAATATATCGCTAAGTAATTTTTAAATATATCACGTGTCGTAAAAATAGAACAGATTAATTGAAATACCACACCTAGTGAACCGATATGAACGCCATTCCCCGGGCAATATCACAAGCGAATTTATAAAGTTGTTCTGTTGGTATTTTCGATGAAGTTTCTGCGCATTTAACGTCGTAGTAGTCATCTGTTTCGCCTCTACTTTTCTTCAGATACCCAAGGAGATCACCATGAGAGACAAACTCCAGGATAACAAGCGGCGGCCCTAAATATGCAAAGAAAATGAATCGTTGGAGTTAAAGTTATGCAATAACGTTCTGAAGTAGACAAAGATGGATTATTTTGTGACTCTAGCCGTCAAATGACTACATTAAGCCGCTAATAAAATTTATTTTGTGATTACTGATGAGCTCTGGTTTTTGAAACAACAATACCTGAGGTAAAAACGATCATCCTTCCCTCACCCCGTCGACAAACGCTATTGGGATGTGGTTATGAAGAAAAAACCAAACACACAAACAAGCAACAATAGCAAACAAGGAAATCAATTCTCTTCGGGGTGCACATTTTTCAGTTTTGACACAACGTAGACCGGCATTTTCCTTCCGACTGTTTACTTTGCGCATTTAGGGTAGACTGAAATAATCCAACTCACTAAATTCTCGCCCTCCTTTACATCGGACTACGTCTTTTGTCAAGCAGCCCAACAATTGTATTACGTTAGGATGAGGTTTAAGTTTTTTCAACAGGTCCAGCTCTGACAACAAATCCATTCGATCCGACTTCGAGGAATTTTCTGCAACAGCGAAGGTCATGAAAACTTTAGTTACACTATTTCTAACTAAATCTTGTTCATTCGCTCCTCCAAAAAACTTGGTCCAAATAATTTTTTTAAAGTTTTTGCTGTGAGGCTTTAAATACGTAGCGTATCCTTACACACAAGTAAAGAGTTCCCCGATTAAGTTGCGACCTCCTCATTTACTTACTGATACGACACAAAACTCTTTCCTTCTTTTTGAAGAAGTATTGCTTGCATTAAAATGTGCCTTTATCAATTCTTATTACTGATGATCCAGCAGCACATGCTACGAACTCCTTACTCATTAGAAAACGGAGCTGAATCTTAACTTTTTAGTAGTTTTTATGTAACATTATCCCTTTGGTTTTAAATGGTCACATGTGTTTTTATGTGTCAGAGAAAGTGAAAGTAGAAACTGCATGATTATGTAACGTTTCCCAGTCCTAGATTAGTTATCTCAGAGAAAACATCACTTACGAATCTAAGATTTTTTAGCAGTGCAAGCAAGCGCCGCTATGAGGTATTAGATGTAACGCTCCATCCTTTCGCATTAAAAGCTGTCGATAGTCAGTACGGATTTATAGGCATTTTTATATTTTGTTAGCAGTAACACATACCCTTTAGCATCTTAACAGCCACAATAGACCAGCCTTGAGTGCCTCGCACATCCAACACCGCACCTTCCCACACTTGACCGAATGTTCCACCACCGATCCTTTTATGTAGTCTCAAGCGTTCGCCGGGAACTTCCCAGTTGGTGTTGCTCTGCACTTTTGTGTATGGTGACTCCTTCCTGGAAGTAGAAGCTAACACTGATCGTGGATATCTTGGGCTCTCTTGTGGGGTTCCTGCACATCTATCATTCTGATAACTGTGTTTTTCGTGTAGAGCTCTTGGATGAGGAGTGCAGAACCTTGATTGGTTAACTCGTTCGACACCTGCACGTTGACTATCACATAATCGTGAAGTTAAAGTCATTCCTCCAAACGTGGACGATTTTCCTCTGGGCTTAGGTACAGGACGACCTTGGGGCAAGGTTTGTATCCTTCCTCGAAAACATTTGGAGTTATTTCTGTTATGAAACGCAGGTTGTAAGTGTTCCACCAGTTGCAAGTAATCTTCTGAATGATTTTTGATAATATATGCATGCCAATATGGCTGCCACGCTCTTTAGAGCTCTTGCAGTTTTCTATATTTTTACCTTCATAACTATGATAACAGTCGAAAGAGCTTATCGAAATCAATCTTTAACATCAAGATGCATTAGTTGGATGGCTAGATTTGAGCTGAGAGTATCCCGGTCTCGAAATCTCCGGGTAAGAAGGGCTATGGTGAAATGGGACAGTCGAGGCATGGTCTTCCTGGCCGCCCCTGAGAAGTTTGTTGTGCTCGACATTACTGTTAATATGGATGTCCATCCACATCCTGGACCTGAAGAAGTGGATAATGACCACGGTAAACGAAAACAGAGCTCCAACTCCTCGGACTCTGCTTGTCAACCTGCAATTGGGTCAGTCAGAATCCATTGCTCTCACAATCGTGACAGGCTACTTTCGCTGAGACGTTCGGCGGGCCGACCTGCGCCTCATGTTTTCGATACCCTTAAATCCCTGGGAATTCTGAAATACAGAGGTCCGGGATTACGAAGATTGGGGAAAATTACTAAAAATATCCCTGCATCGCAACACTCCGACAGATGTCGACCCATTGAAGTTGTTAAAACCCGGCGGTTTGCTAGACCTTATCGCTTCCAAGATCCCGCTAAGAACAGATATCTTACAGCTATTCCTCGAGAGCCTACTAAATCATCTACCGATTGCTCGGAGTTTGCCGTTCCCAAGTGTATGTTCATCAATATTTGCAGTCTCGCAAAAAACTAAGAACAAAGTGCGTGCGGCGGTTGGACTTGAGGCTGACTTGCGATCTAAAGATATTGATGTTTGTGTCGTATCGGAAACACACCTCAAACCGGCACAACCGGATGCGATTGTAAATATTGAGAACTATTCCATCTTTCGTAGAGACAGAAATTGGAATGGCAGAGATATGCGCAATAAGGGTGGGATTGCTATATACATCAGGAACAATCTTGCAGTAGAGGATGTTTACCGCTCTAGTCTTTATGAATTAATTTGTATAACTCTGCGACTTCCCAAGGGACATCGATTTGTAATATGTGGAATTTATCATCCCCCAAAATTTAATTATGCAGAGATCGATCTAATGAATCATCTTGTAAATACCGTGGATAATATACTAGACAAACATCCACAAACAGTTGTGTTGTGCGGTGGCGATGTCAACAAACTGGATATCAAACGCTTCGAAGAAATGTCTGGTTGGAATGCTCTGGTTAATTTCCCCACCAGAGGGAATTCTTGTTTGGACAACTGTTTCACGAACCGCACGGATCTCTTTTCAAAGTGCTATCCCTTTCACATGCTCTCCAAGACGGATCACATGGGAGTTATTTTACCACCCGGTATAAAGCTTCCACCTATCCGCCGTAAAGTATACGTGCGTGACCAAAGGGCTCATAGAAAGCGTGATCTGTATATCGCGTTGGCGAAGGAAAACTGGGATGATATGATACAGGAAACTGATGTCGATGAAGTGGTTGGTAGGCTCGAAAATACCATCCTAGGGCACCTGGATAGCTGCATGCCTCTGAAAACAGTGCGCATGTCTTCAAGAGACCCGGCTGGATGACTCCGCTCGTTCGATCGATGATACGAGCCAAATCACGCATATCACTCAGTAATCTAGACCGTCTTAAAGTTATGAATAAAAGGATCTCTGAAGTGATTTTCAGAAACAGAAGGGACTTTATCGCCTCTATTGGAACTCGGGATTGGTGGAAAAAAGTGGATAAAACATCTCAGCGCCGCAAGCCGGTGATTTCTCTATCTCTTGGCCACTACGAACTCAACGCGTTAAATGACTACTTTGGTGACCTATGTACTGACCACGCCTACAGAAAGCCAACACCTCTGGAGATTAGTGAAGATCAGGAAGTCCCAGAAATCTCAGAGCGACAAGTCCTGAATTCTCTTATGCGTATAAAGAAAACAGCAACCGGACCAGATGGCATCCCGTATACTATATGGAAAGACCACGCCGAGCTATTCGTTCCAGTGATCACCTGGATTTGGAATCTGTCTCTTAGAACACACGCCTGGCCTGTCTCTTGGAAAAAGTCAGACCTGTACCCCTTGCCGAAGGTTGATATACCTAAGGGAATATCAGACTTCCGCGGAATAAATGTGACACCTGTCATCGCAAGGTGCTTTGAGAAAGCTGTCTTAGGAACACACGCAAGGGAGACCTTCGATGAACATTCTGGGATCTCACAGTTTGCATACATAGAGGGAGGAGCTGTACCAATGCTCTACTGACTATCCAACATACTGTCAATCAATATCTTGATATCCCAGAGTGCAAAAGCGGTACGCCTATTCGCTATGGATTTCAGCAAGGCTTTTGATAGTGTGAAACACGATCTCCTCTCTCACACAAATTGAAGCAACTCCCCTAAATCCTTTTATAGTTAACTGGTATCTAAGCTTTTTGGAAGACAGGCAGCAGAGAGTCATTAGAAATGGGTTTATTGGAAAATGGAAAAGTGTCAACAAAGGTACCACCCAAGGAAGTGTCAGCGGGCCGCACTTGTTCAATGTCTTTCTCAGTGATTTAGAGATACACTTGGACAATAAGAGCGTGCTGGTAAAATATGCAGATGATACAACCATTATCTCGCCTGTGATAGGTGATAATGACAATTCTATCGCACTGATTAATCAGTTTTCCCAGTGGTCTAGAAGTAATGGTATGTGTAGCAATCCATCTAAGTGCAAGGAAATCATTTTCCGCAAGAAAGGTTGTACAATAGAGTTTCCGATGGTGTCTGGAATACCACAGACAAAAGAGCTTACTATTTTAGGGGTAACATTTCAGGAAGACAGTAGGTTCATAACACATATTCGGGAAAAACTAATTAAAGCAAACAAGTGCCTGTTCATTTTAAGATCTTTAAGGAAAGAAGGGTACAATCAGGCCGAAATAGACCATCTGTTTCTAAATCTGGTTCTACCAAATATATTATACGGGTTGTCCGTATTTGGCGCTGTAAATTCCGAATTAACAACAATCCAATGTTTCTTAGATCGATGTTATAAGCGCAAGTATACATCCGATCACATTAATGTTTATGAATTGTTAGTTCAACAGGACACGCGTATCTTCAAGAATGTTTTTAATAATACAATACACCCTTTAAGAGCTATAATGCCAAAAAAGAAATTAACCAAGTACAATCTGAGGAAAGAGACAAGTCACCATCCTAAAATAAACACTGATAGGTTCAAAAACACGTTTGTTAATCGCTTAATTTTTAAACATAATCTAGTCTTATAATTTTTATCTTGATTTTCTCTGTAATTTATATATATACCTTCTTTTAATGTTGTAACATAGGATATGTGATTATTTATCTTATGACTTAATAAAGATTCAATGAATTCAATGAATGAATGATTCACTCCTTCAGTTGTTTTAATCGGAGGTTGGTTCTCTCTGAACGTGTCAAGACGTCGGACTGTCGTTTCCTCTTGAACTCGGACAATCTTTTCATTCCCTGCATTTGGAGCTGTAACAACTTGGGCGTTCACTACAGTGGAGTTGTGCAACACCTCATAACTTTCACGCGAAGAAAACTTTGTACAAGACATGACCTGCTTACCAGATGAGCATGCAGCAGCAACGGAGCTCGTATCGGGTCTCTCCCGTGTTCCTTCCTTAGTGTTAACCACTACTGCTGATACTGGTTGCTCTATCGTCAACGAGGATTGTAAAAGTCCCAGTGAAGACACCACTGTCGTCACTGGTTCTCTTTCTAAAGAACTCTCATAATTTTCAGGTGAAGAAAACTTCGTAAAAGACATGACCTGCTGACCAGATGAGCATGCAGCAGCAACGGAGCTCATATCGGGTGTCTCTCCTATTCCTTCCTTAGTGTTAGCAACTATTGCTGATACTGGTTGTTCTATCGTCAACGAGGATCGTGAAAGTCCCAGTGAAGTCACCACTGTCGTCACTGGTTCTCTTTCTAAAGAACCCTCGTGAGTCTGCAAATAAATCATACAATAAATTGATGTTGTTGGAGGTTAGATACTTAAGTCTCTGGAGGCGATGAGATTACGTCAAGGGTAAAAGAGATTATTTCAGAAAGTTTAGTAATTCTTATTCTTTAATTTTCAGGACTGGGTGGTACTTGTGGTGGGTCGATCAGTGTATGGATTGGTTTTTGTTCTTGGCATGAACTGAATTCTGCCATTCTAACAAAGCTGACCTTAATCTCTTCGTGGTGGCTAATTCGCATTATCAACTCGAGTGACAAAATCAAACTATCCTGGAGCACTCGACCTTTTTGTGGCAATGAGAGCAACTGGAAATAGTAATAGTGAAACAATATTTGGATTAAACCAACGGTAACTAATAACTATTCACAGAAATGGGGAAAGTTTCGTGGTAGATGAACGTTAGTGGTGGATGTTTACCAAGCTGCGATGCGGTGAGGTAATTATCCACCGCTAGCCACCGACTATGAGGTAAATAGTTGTTTAAGTATATACCAAATAGCACAAAAAGATGATCTTAACTAATTTACTCCTTCAACGATTAAAATATTTCCGAGCTTAAATCCCGCGCGAGTTGCTCAGAGGTGAATAGCAAGGGATGTTCGGCGTTTGAGTGGCTAATCAGGGCGCGCCTTCAACGCCTTGAGCTGATTTAGTTTACACTAAAAGAGACCATACAGATTATACTTTCCCCACCTGATCAAACGCAGAATTTTCCTGTAAAGTTAAATGCAATATGGTTAACCTGAAAAAGCAATGCATATCAGAAATTGAAAATCCATGTTTTTGTTATTTATCAACTCATCGACGACCTAACTTTTGATTCATTGCGAGTACTTATTCTAATAAATGAAAAAATAATATTGATTGACACAGAGTTTAATACATAGAGTTTTTGATATCTAGCTCGTTGAACTTCAACTTTTTCCAGGGAATCTACAAAATTAGAGAAAGTTGAACATCATCTATAATAATAACAACTATATGATTAAATTTCTTCAATTTCCCGTCGATGAGAGATTGTGAGATACTGAAATTTGCCTCGTAAGGATTACTTCGCCACTGAATGCCTACCCTCCGTTCCTTAAATCTTGAGGTCCTATGGAGTTTTGAAGAGAAAAATAGGGAAATTGTTACTCTCAGGGTTAGACTCGTTACTCTAATGTAATTTCACGTCTTCAAAAGACTGAAAGCTTTATCCTCGTCTTCATCATTATTGATGGTTAAGCTGTAAGGCATACATTATTGAAAAAAATATCTAAATTGTGATGGTTTACTTCACTCTGCTCTGTGATTGTAAGTAACTCTCCAGCCAATCAGATGCAAAACTAAAACCAATGGCGGCTCGAATGAATTGTGTTTTTTTGCTCTAGAGGCAATTTGCCTGTTTTTGTTTTGAGCTCTAGTTGACTCCATTAAATACGAGTCCAAAATTATCCTTTCTTCTGATTGGCCTCTGTTATAACATGTACTACAGTTTTTGTCTTACGACATTCAATCGAAGGGCACGCTTTAAGTTACTTACTTTGGTCATCTCCTTTGTCTTGGATAATTTTTATTCGCATTAACACGATTGCACTTAACACTAAAAAAATGATGCCCAGTGCTATCAAAATTATGAATTCAATTTTCCACGGGGACTCAACATCTTTTTTTCCCCTGCTGGAGAATGGAGTCAGTTCAGTCTCACTCTCTGTCGAATTAAATTTGAAATTAGTTTAACATCTAGGAAATGGGGTGAGGTTTTGATTGGTTCACAGGATTGACGCGTCCACGGTTTGAGCCTAGCCGGTCATTACTTTCCCCTCCGAGCTCTGTGCTCTTGGCCAAGACACTTAAGTCACGTAGTTCCTCTCTCCATTCTCTTACAAAACAACCCAATTTCTGGGCTTTAAAGTCATTTCCGTTTATACGGCTTTTTGTCTACGATAACCATGAAACGGTTAGATACACATAAATCAGTTATGCCTATGAGCAAAATTGAGTCTCATGGCAGCCAGCATGTACCCGCAAACTTTTATGTGACCTACTGACCGAAAGTAATTTGACTATGAAGAAACACATAGGACAGTGATGATGATTTTTTTTCACCAATCTTCCGGTCTATAGGTTCAATGTTTTCCTACCTGTCGGAACTGCTTTGAGAGATATGTCGTTTCCTTGTGTAACTTTGTCTTCAAAGTCGGTGGATATGTTCAGCATTTTGTCTCTGTCCAACCCACTCTCTCCACATTTGTTCCAAGCTTTCACCACGAACGAGTAAGATGTATCATCCTTAAGTCTAATTTGAAATTTGTTTCCTGTAACATTTTCCAGTAGCCAATGTTCTTCACCCTCACGTTTTTGCAGAACTGTATACGTCACCTGCAGCTCTCCTTCACTTTCAACCGCTGACCATCGTAGCGTCCAGTTGGGACTGGTCACTATTTTGTCTGAATTCAGTATAGTTGGACTTTCCGGAAGTACTGTTTCAAGCAGGAAAATGTAGTAGTTAATGAGGGATTCCAGGGGAAATAGAATGAAAGGCTACAGTCAAAAGTGTATTCATTAGCTCGTCCGGTGATCAATGAGAAGGTATTTTAGGATTCATATTTGAGCATTGAGAAGAATGCAAAGTTAACATAACAAAGATTGTTTATAGGGAAATTCCTTGAATTTCTATGCGATCTGCTTGAAGGACTAACAAGATCAGTGGTGGTCGGTTTATCTTGCGTTAAAGGGGGTAAGTTTCTAAAGAAACCGTAGAGCTGCCTCAGTTAGGGATTTCACAAGATAATTTGGTTTCATCAATTGAGTTGATAATGCTGTGTTAAATTGGCCATCGTTTATGGAGTTTCTAAAGCTGACCTTTCGGTAGTCAGAACGAAGGGCTCTGACGAAGGACTTACGCTCGAAGCTTCATCTTAAGGTGATTCCTCAGTATTGCTCTACGCATCCTGTATTGCGCATAAAAATCATGAAATTATAGGAACGAGCGCGCGCGCATTCCGAGAACACGGTATTGTTTTCAATCCATGGACCAGGTAGAGAGGTACGATGGTCTTCAGCTCTTGAGCAAGGACGGTGACCCATATTTTTTGTTGCATGACTTTGGAGAAGTCCCCCTTGGGGAAATTCAAAAAAAAATCTTCGAAGGAACCAAAGCAGTGTAGCAAAATGCACCGTGAACCTATGAAATGACGCGCGTGATTGATGCCAGTACAGGCATAAATGGGGCAAGTTTGGCCCGTCATATATCCTAAACAAGCTCGATGACCTATCTTTTTTATTGTATTTTTCGAAACAGACATTGGTAGGGAACATTTAAGGACAGTTTTAAAAAATTCTTCGATAACTTTTTCTGAGGAATCATCTTAAGAAACTCTGTCTGGCAAGCATTATCATGTGAAACCATTTACCTCGTAGGATAACGGTCCTAGTATCTTCTCCGGCGGAGTTTTTAGCGACAGAAACGTAATCGCCGCAGTCCTCAGCTGTGATATTTCTTAGGGTCAATACGGCTTTAAAAATACCGCTGACTAATACTTTGTCATTTCTTTTCCATATGACTTGAACAGGAGACAAGCCTTGGGCACTACATATAAGGTTCACGCTCTGTCCTTTCCTGAGCGGCGGCGGTTTACTGACGTTTGTGATTCTCGGCAAATCAGAAATGGCTGCAAACAAAATTATCTAGATCAATCTTCCGGCAACTACTTGTAACTAGAAATTACCTTTATCGATTTCTTCTGATAATTCAGGGACCCCCCCCGGTCAAGGAACTCTAACTTTGATCCCGACAGAAGAAACAATGACCCTATCACCTTATCAATTGGTGCCCTCATTGAAGAGACATGCATGTACCTCTTTTCAGCGGACTCCGTCTTAAAACTTGCAAGTGAACCATAATCACAGCAACCAAAAGTACAATTTTGAGTTACTGCCAACATAGTCCGAGCTGTCATGAACGATATTACTTACGTCTGGACTTAACTTGAAGCTGAACTGTGTCGGTCAACGGGATATGATGGAGACCATATTCCACCAATATTCCATACTTCATGCCATCTTTAAGTTTTACATTGTAAAATTCAAACACTGCGACAGAGGATGTCAAATTTCCTGCCCAACCCACCGATGACTTATGGGAAGACCTTATTAACGCAAAACCACTCGAGTTGACAGCTATCAACTTCATCAGGAACCCAGGACTCTTCCAAATACCAAACACCACCTCGAAAAGATCATTCTTTAGATCTCCTGAATTGTAGTGCCACTTAAATGACACAGTCTCGCCAGTGAAGGCTTTTGTTGGCTTTTCTGGAGCAGAGATTATACTTGGATAAACTAGAGCTTGAATGGATCCTGTAAATGACATTGCAAGGCACCGGTCATTATTTATCGCAGGGGGGGGGGGAAGGGGACGGGAAGATTTTGGTTGTGTCACAATAAAGTTTACCTAATACCCCGTCAAGTCTTTGTAGTATTCTAATTAATTCCCCTCTCCCTGTAGGCCACGACTGACCCCCCCTTCCGTGAACGTCCTGACCTCGCCCTTCCCCCACTCCCCCCGAAAATTCCTCCACAGGCGATAAATAATGACTGGAAACTATATAGAATGAATCCTTGATTAATGCCCTCAATCAAAAAACGTCCAGCTGGCTGATTGTCAGAGATTAGAGACAAGTGTCTATCGCAAACCTACCCACGAACCGACGCTATTTATTCTGTTCCGTGCAATGGCTGTGATAACGAGTATATCGGACAGACCAAACGTCAATTTGGTACACCTTTAATGATGGCGGCTTACTTCCTGACGCCTATTTACACCTCATCGGGAAAAAGGGAAGTTAATTAGTGAGCGTATAAAAGGATCTCGTTGTAGCGTTTAGATCAACCCTGATGAGGCCACTAAGCGGGAGTGTCGAAACGTTGGGTCTATGAATTTTAGCCTCTCGGTTACATTCATTAAATCTTTAAACCAGAGTAGCATCAAACCATGTCTAATTCAGTCTCGGCCGTGTTCGAAGTTGTAAAATTGTCTTGTGACAGACGAAGGACAAAGGAAGTCGCTAAGTCAATAAGAAACAGAAACGAGCAATGTCCTGAGGAGTTGAGGAACAGAAAATAGTGGACGAATAAGTGCCAAATCTGAGATGAACCCTTTTTCAGAGAAGGGTTGAGGGTATCTCGCCGGAGACAATTGAATTTCTTCTGAGCGACTTTAAAGACCAATCGTGAAGGAGACCATTTACTGAGCACATCACCCATGGCTCTTTTTCGAATTATAACACGATCTCATTTTAAAACGTGCATTATCTGTTGCCCGTCTTTAAAAAAAGAGATGCATTATGCATTCAGATGAACTAACTTTGAATTGCGTCTTCAAGACGCATTACGGAGCAAGGTTTCGTTAAACGCATAATGCCACTTTTACCAGTCTTTCTTCGAAGAGACGCATTATTCGTCCAGATGAACTACCTTTGTAGTGCGTAAAAGCATAAAATATTCACAAATACTATTACTAGCCCAGGTTCTTTTAGAGGAATAATTCGTCTTAAGTATAAAAACGGCCATCGATCCTTAAGAAGATGGGAAGGGATAAGTGCGAAATTTTATCAACATTACTGAGAAGTAACGCTTGACCGACTCCCGATTTCCTAGAAATGAATGAGTTAAGTTCAGGTGAACTAAAGCTATATTTCGAATCTGTTGGATACCTTGCTTGATCATAAGATAAGAGAATTGTAATAAGTTTGTAAGTCTCCTTTCTGTTGTAAAGCTAGGAAATTTGTCGAGAACATGGAGAAGCCGACATAACTTTGTTCGTTTACTGAATTTTAATTTTACCCGGTAAACGGATGTTCAGACATAATATTTCCGAACAGCAACATGCTTATACTACTATCTATTTGTCCAAACAGAAATGTTTTGAGTCAAACAGTTAAGTCACAACATGCTATTGAAACTAAATGTAGCGGAAGAGCACTTAACTCGTAATCTGACATCTCACGACAAGCTCATTACAAGGTAAGCGGCGGCACTAGTCTGTGTAGGGAAAGATAACTCGAAACTCCACTTACAAAATCTCGAGACCCCAGCTTTCGCGGGGGTTGCGAATGCTGCTATTCTTCTTAGTTACTCAAAGTTTTATAAAGCCACTATTTGTCGATTAATTTCAAGCTTTTTTCTCGGATTATAGTCCTTTGAATCTCAACTCCTTTGCCAGGATTCCCTGAAGTCATTGGAGGCCCAAGTTAGAGACTAAATTCACCTCAAGAAATCTCATTCAGTGAACATTCTGTCTTCTGGTTGTTATACATTTTCACATGAATAAGCTAAGTTCAGCTAAAGTCATGTTGCTTCATATATTATCTCCTAGACCAATACTTGATAAATTATCATCCAGTACTAGATAACACGTTGTTGTAAAGGAAAATAAAGTGTAGAGGATTAATTACGCGCAAACGCAGGAAGATGTCATTAAGCATTCCTTTTCTGGCTATTTGTTATCTACGACTCTTTGAAAGATAATGCTTTATATACTTAGATGTTCTGTTGTAGATTTCCCTCTCCTGCCCTAAATACTGGTTCGGCATACTCGAATTTACATTTCAATCTACTGAATGTCGTGTATACAAAGTGAAAGAGGAAACTGCATTTGATGGCTAGATGCGGTGTAAAAAATCCGCCTGGAACTTAATTACTACATTCCCCTTTACAAGTAAGACTTGTTCTTGTGCTGGAACTTGTTATTCAGTTAATGGTAAACAAATTGAAAATATGAGATTACATAGATGGGATCATAGCTTGACTACAGATCGAAGCCTCCTGATTTTCAGTTGGTAATAAGGTCGCTTTGAATAAACAAGTTAATTCCACTGAATCTTGACGAATGAATGCAGACTATTAGTTATTATATCATACACCTACTCATACTTGTTGCTGCAAAAAGACAGGCGACAAAAAGGACTTCTTTCGGCCATCGGTGCATTTTGTTCATTCAGCTGTCAGTGAGTTTATCGGGTGCTCCTTGGTGCAAATTCAGATTCTCCGGCGCAAATGGTCACTCTTTGTTACCGAGTAACTTAGCTTAAACGGTCGATAAGTCTGAGATAAAGACTATCTAAACTGTTTAAGTGCTGTTTTGATGTCTTGAAACATATCTCTTGGCAAACATAATCGTCAATGGAGAGGAAATAAGTGGGTGGAAAGGAAAGCAACTATGTTTCGAGGAAAAAAAAACGATTTGGGAACTTTAATCTCGTTTTCATTTCCGTAGAACGCCAGCCAACCAATCAACCCGGTTATGTTCGTACACCCTCTAAGCCATGTTGACGCAAAGATTTATAATTGTCCTCAAGTGGCTATGTATTTCTTAGAATTGTGATGGAAATCGTCAACTAAAGCCGGCAGTGTTTTGCATTGTTTTGCTGTTTGATATTTGCATTGGCTTAAGTTCAAAATTCGGTAAAGTGAAAGTAACACACTGTCTGGCAGCAAAGCCACTCAATAAAAAGAAATTACGGCCTTGAAGCTGCCACCATTTTCCTTTCACAGTGTTCCAGTTACGTGGCAACACTGACTTAACACACCAAAATCTGTAACGAGCAGGTCAGTTGTGTAAGGAGAAGCAGTTCTGATTTCACTTTCCGGCCAGAGTGGATGAGCAAAGTTTCTTAAATAACTCAATTAAGTTAATTTCCTAACAAGGCAGTGATCACGGTTCATCTTTTAACAATGAAACTTCCTCAAGGATTTTTTTCTTGCCGATCGATGCACATGACCCGCATGTGTTTTACTGGCATCAATAATATTGGGCAGTATAATATTATAGCCGTTACTTTCTGCAAAATTCAGAGTAAAGACTTTCATATGTTCACATTCGAAATTTTTACAGTAACTTTATAACCGTCCTTTTGTCTTTCAAAAGCAAGAAGCTCAGTAGATTCTGTCATATCGGTCATTGTTAAAACTGTCTTTATTTTGATGCTACTTTTCGACGTAGAAAAAGTATGTCGGACAAAAATATTCACCAAAAAATAAAAACTTCTTTGCCAGCTTCAATAATGACAGGGGATCAAGTTTAGATGATAAAATACTACTGAATCTACATAACCTGCACAGAAGAAAAGGCAACATCTAACATATAAGTCGTTAGCATAGTACTAATCCATGCTACCGGTGATAATTGCCTTAATATAGTTTCAGTCCATACGTTTTTTGCCGGCTCTTTCCTCTTTATTCGAACTCATGTATCTCACTTAATCCTCAATGTAGCTCTGTGCAAGTCCACTCAGAGTTTTAGAATAATGCCTTGATTGCGCTGATTTGGTCATGTCACTGTGCTGTTCTAAGAATCTCATGTTATTAACTAATTATCATTAAAAATATTGGTCAGGATCATTGTTATGTTATGGAACTGTTGCAATATCAGAGTACAGCTATATGCAAGTATAGGTCCATAAGTAACAGCCTTTTATGAGTGATTGATTGATTGACAACCGGTGGATGCATCAGCTACTGGGCTTGACGACAGGTTTTTGACCTCTTAAGCCATTTTGACCCGATCTGTATGATCATGCATATCACTTTCATGATTTCTCGGAGTCAAGGAAAGCTTTTCAGTCCTCATACTATAAAGTATTCATGGAAAAGTCGTCTCTTCAACTAAATCTCTGAATCGTAAAGATTAGCTCGTTGTTGGCTGTGTGTATTTTCGAATCTTTTTGCTTAGTTTCTTAAGAGGGAACGACTAAGCTTGAATTCCAAGGATATTCAAAGCAGAGCAGCATTTGTTTATCTTGACGATGAAAGCATTTATACTTTCGATTATTTTCGCAGTGATTCAGTGCCTCACAGGTAAGTTTAACATAGATTTTTTGTTCCTGTGTTGAGAATCCGAATGTTATTGAATGTTATACTTTGGAATAACCGAGCATTTTGGCAAACATTATTATGAGGAAACCGAAAAACACAAAACCCATAGTTTTCGATATTCTAAAGTTGACTGCAGAGCGAGAGATTCAATATCCATAAACTGCAAATTACAATGCCCCCTCTTAGACACAAAAGATGTTACGAATTTCAGGCAAATGACGGAAATTGTGGTTAAGGCAAAAAGTGCTAATTTGGTCTGTGTATATGTGTAAGTTGTTATGAGGCGGAACTACAGTGAAAGTGAAAGGAACAACACGGCGCCTTTCACGCTTCGAACACAACGCCGGTTTACCAGCAAAGTAAAGTTAAATTAAATGGAAATTAGCTTTCTGAAATCAAGAAATTTGTCAGCTCCATTAAGAAAGTGACTCAAGTTTCTTTACCTAAGGGAGATGTCGTGATTTCACTTGATTGTCCAAATATCTAAATTTTAAATCAGAAACGTCAAGCCAGGTCAGTTATTTTTAGACATCGTTACGACTGATTCCGTTTGCCTCTTTTGAAAAACACTTAAAGACAAACCAAAAATAGACAATGATTTTCCCGGAAGAAGAGTGTTATATTTTTAGTATTTTCCAAACCACGTTTTATTAATGAGCAGGTCAAAAGTCTTAAATAAATGCTGGAACGACAGTTTAGATGGACGATGTTTTTCCTGACGAATTGTGAAAATTAATGCGAACATCGGAGCATTAGTGTATATCACACTTTTTTAGAAGAATTGCAAAGCGGGAGTCGATAGTCAAGTAGTGAAGCTATATAATAGAATGATATGCAGAAAGAGTATGCTTACACAGGGCAGTTGAATGCATGGTGCGCCTTTCCAGTCAATATTCAAATTATTTCAAAATGGGATGAAATGTTTCTATTTCTGTGCCATATTTTCTATTTTAACTTCACAGTTGCTACTATGCAGTGACTGGCAAACTGATGACTCCGTTCTTCAAGATTTCAAGACAATTGTTATGAACTGCACTAAAAATTGTTCTAACTAAGTGTTTGGGAATTGCTTAGGCCTGTTGTATTGTAGTGAAATCCTCGTGCGAGTCTTGTGAGCCTTAGTTTGTCATGTGCTGCCAGATCACGCATTATTTTTACCCTTTGAGAGTAGTGTCCTTGACCGTTGTAGTGTGGCTTAATACACGTACAGTAATCGTCATCGCTAATCGTGTTTGGGTTTCTCCTTTACCTTTCTTAGAGTCCTCAACGGGGATTTTTGTTTAGGTTTTAGTTCTCTCTTGTTCTCGTAGATTGGTCGTTATTAAGAGAGGATGTCAGCATCTATCAAACAAATTTGAAATAATGTGGCAAATCGCCCAATATTCGTTTTCTCTCCAACTTTCATATTTTTAGCCCAATATGTCCTTATAATTGCGGTGTAGTTTTTTTGTGAAAATGTATTTTCGTTTTTGAGAAATGATTGTTTTCTTTCGACCGCTCAAATATGCAAATTTTCACCCTGAATATTACCCGAGTCGTGTGACCTCGTGTAACGAATTTACTTGACCTCCGGTATTTCTGCCGGCATAATCCTTTGTTTTATCATCTAAACTTGATCCCCTGTCATTATTGAAGCTGGCAAAGAAGTTTTTATTTTTTGGTGAATATTTTTGTCCGACATACTTTTTCTACGTCGAAAAGTAGCATCAAAATAAAGACAGTTTTAACAATGACCGATATGACAGAATCTACTGAGCTTCTTGCTTTTGAAAGACAAAAGGACGGTTATAAAGTTACTGTAAAAATTTCGAATGTGAATATATGAAAGTCATACATTTGAAATGCGGATAAAGACGTTAATATGAAAAAGATCTTCGCAGTAATGAACACTACTTGAGCATTATGCCGACAGAAATACCGGAGGTCAAGTAAATTCGTTCCATGAGGTCGCACAACTCGGGTAATATTCAGGATGAAAATTTGCATATTTGAGCGGTCGAAAGAAAACAATCATTTCTCGAAAACGAAAATATATTTTCACAAAAAAACTACACCACAATTATTAGGACATATTGGACTACAAAATATGAAAGTAGGAGAGAAAACGAATTTTGGGTGACTTGTCGCTGTTTGTCTGATGCATGTTGACAGTAGCTCTTAGGTACTTGGTCGAGCTTTGTAAATAGCTTCAAGAGCAATTCCGCTACGAGGAAAAAGTACGGAAAGAGTGCTTCGGTTATTGCTCAGCTGAGAGAGATTTAATAACTTACGAGGTCACTTCTAATTCTGCTTTTATGCAACATTGCACATCCGGTTATTTTTCTTTTCCATTTCTTTCCACGATTTAACAGTATTTTGCCAAGGAGGGTATCCTAAAATTGTTTTTAAACCAAGTGATCCCCTGATTGCCCGTAGCGAAGACAAAGCTACGCTTAATTGGGCGCTTGAGCTGCCTCCCTCAGAGACATGGAGCAGTAGCATATTTGAGGTGATGTTTGGAATCTGGAAACATCCAGGATTCCTGAAAACAAAACTCTTGGTCATCGATAGACACGGTGAAGTACTGATAAGACCAAACTACGAAAAGAAAATTAGCTGCGACTTTAACATGTCCAAGCTTCAAGTTGCATTCATACTCCATAATTTAACCATGAAGGACGAGAATCATTACTGTCTTCAGGTTGAGCTTGGCCTTCATCAGCCTCCTTTGACGGATCCTGTGATGCTTCTTCTTGAGGGTAATATATTTGTTACATTTCATTTGCACTGGGATGCCACAGACCCGGACGAGGGGGTATGTTCTGGGTATGTGCCGCTGGCCACGCAGAGCCTCTTAACCATAGTCAATCAGTGGCCAATAATGGATCTCATTTTAGCCGCTTTTAAGAAAATGTAGTTTTCGCGATCCCAACTTAGTCACATTCTGTTTATGTATCTACCTTTTAAAGCATTTTAAGAAGGTCATTATAACATGAATTGACATAACTTACCAGAATCTTCTCACCTCCAAAATCCCCAAAATGCGCGACCCTATTCTAATGACTACAAGAAAAATGTTGCCCAATTATAGTCAATCGAGCCGTGAAAATGTGAGTCCATCCAGTGGCACATCCCCATAAGCTTATAACTAGAAAGTACTCCACCCCCCTTGGGGGCCACAGATTGCTCCCCCATCCTATCACATAATCATGTCGTGGCTGCAAAGTGCATAGATTTTGCCATGACTATTTAGACATACGTTCTTGCTTGATTCATATAAATGCAAAGGGAAATATCTATTCCTTTGACCAGTGTTAAAGAGAAATCTCAAACTGTTCTCAGTTATCCTCCAGATCTGCTGTATTAACCATGTAGAGCCTTACAAAGAACTTACGTTGTAAAATACGTACAGGCTATGGTCAGTCACACCCGAGACAAAAAGTTGGCTTTCCTTCTCTGAAATTCACTTCTGATTTAGAAAAACCTAACTCTCAAATATCTTAACAGATCCTCCTAAGATAACTAGTCCAAAACAGGAAAACTTTTCCGTGAACATTGGGGACAACTTGCGAATAAACAGCCAAGCAAAGGGTCTTCCTGCACCTAACATAACATGGACGAAACAGGGGCGAATTGTTGGTAATGATACATTGGTTCTCAATGGAGTAACGCCAAACGACAGCGGAGTCTACCTGTGCAGCGCTCACAACCAGGCTGGTGAAGATCATAGGGAGATTGTGGTTACGGTTATAGAGCATAATTATGGATCGCAAAAGCTAACAGGTAATTTGTTTGTCGACTTAAATACCTATGAACTAGATTACTAATGCATATACCTGTGTTGAACGATTTGAAAATATCAAACACTCCCCCACTGTAGAAGTCGAATGGGATCATTATCTATTCAAGGAGTTAGTTTCTCTGATCTTTTTTAAGCTAAGGATTTCTTTCGCGCAAATCATGCTATCAACCACATCATTGTCCCTGTAATTTTAAGTAGTCCACGTTACTCTAACAAGGTCCTGCAATTTGATATCTTCTCATGATATCGATCATTGGTTCGATTAGCTTCTCTATACATTAAAAAAAGTGTAAAATTTTCAATTTTCTGAATTGGCCAAGCCGCTCATCCACAAGTTAATAACAGACAGATTGATAACCGAGGTGGCCTCCCCCCAGCCTCTCCTGTCGTCTTTGAGGTCTCTTGCTGTTGAATTTGTAATAATTTTACTTCTGAAGTTGCTAAGAAATGATGACGACGATGATGGTGATGATAATCATCCTTCCTGCTAAAGTGCTTTCTCACTTTTTTTCCAGTTCCCCATATGCCAACACAAACATCACACGATGGAGGAAGTCCTGTGTGGTTATTTCCGGTAGTCATAGGTGTGTCAGTTTTATTAATAGCTGCAGTGGTTATCTTTCGCTTGCGTGGGCGCTACTGCGAAAAGAATCTCGCTTATGGGCAGCATATTGATGAAGAAACAGGTGAGCACTCCACAACTGCCAAGATCGAGCTTAGAGACGATGAGGCGACTGCGGGTTAGTGACTGAGAGACGATAGAAAAGCGGGCAAACAGGAAACAGAGTATACATTGATCATACTCTATCATGGAGTGCACCATTAGCTGGTATACCGAAATAGTAGCAAAAGCAGCGATACAATTTATCAAACTTTTTTCTCTTTCTCAACTTCCTGCGGGTTTCTGCTCCTAAGCCTCTAAATTGTCTCCACTGACCCGATAGTTAGAAATAAAACTTGCGTCATTGTAGTACACTGTAAGTGTGCTTTAAAATGATTGCTAAGGAAAATAGAAAACTTTAAAACAGATCAATTTTTGTTAATGACGGAAGAGAATTTTCTCATCGAGAAAATGAGAAATAAGTTGCTTTGACAAAAACCATCTACTAGTCTTTGAACAACAATCTGACGCACCCATTTGATGAGTGCATCGGTACTCAAAATCCTTTGTTTTACAATGTGAGTTCGGAACACAACCCAATCACTGAAAAGAATTCCAAGAACTTGCAACTGAAGAGTTTGTTACCGAAAGTAGCATGGAATGGCTTCGTAGGAGAGAACTTTTTAAAAATTCAAACCTATAATCTGGCCTAATATTAGTAAATACAGCAAGAATACAATTTTTTTTGCTATATGTATAAATATTTTTTTCAAAAGTAACACTTTAACAACACGTTTCCTTGTATAAGATGCAAAACATTTGCCCTTTAAGCATGGTCGATTGTATTAAATGGTAGACAGTCAATTCCGTACAAAACTATCAAAGCAATTTAATCAAATGTAATGTGCCTTTTCAGCTCTTTTAGAAATGTTGATGAGTTCAATCCTGTCGTTTCAGTAAACCATCTCGAAAACGGAAAGTGCTTTCGAGCTTAAAACAATAAAGGAAGTGATTATTTAATTAATAAACACTACTAAGACAAACTTTCATCAAGTCTGGTTTGCTTTCAGCTTTTGCTATAAACACGGGATAGGAGTCGCATACGGTTCAGAAGAATGCGCCAGCATTTACCTGCAGGTGAGAGAATCGTAAAAATGTTTGAAGCCTTACCAAAAACACATCAAATTTCGTTGAAGAGACGCCAAAATTAGTTTTAAGAACTTTTCTTTGTATCCACCTAAAACAAGCTTCTGCTGCTTAACCCTTTAACTCCAATGAGGAACCAAGACAGAATTTTTCCTCACCATATCAACACAAAATCAAGCAAACAAGTGAGCAGAATATGAAAGAAAACTCAATTAGGGGGACTACAAGTCGATCCAATACCAAATTCTCCAATGCAAACTGAAATCATTAGTATTTTATGGCAGACAGTAGGGAGAATTACTAACGAGATCTTGGGGGTTAAGGGAGTTAACAATCACGGATAGACAGGATGCTTCATGATGAAAGACACTACTCAGAATTTCATTGTTGACGGGTCACGCTTAAGGCCCAACAGTCAGTCGCAGTCTGGAGAGGGCTACCCTGCAGTCAAAACCTTTCTAAGAATCTCCTTTGACAATCTGAACCGATTTTAAAAATTGTGCTCGTCTTTTGATGGACGAAATATTCGAGCCTGTGCATACTATGAAATCGATATTTTGTCCCCTTTGAATTATGGTCACAGGACGGTCGTCGAAATTAAATGTCGACCAAGTTTTCGCAGAAAATCCCCATGCAAACTGCTTGAGAGTATTCCTTGTTTGTGCCGAAATTCCAAGCTATTCTAAAATCTCGGTTTCTAATTCAGTTTGTTTAAGATTTTACGGTTTCAAGAACCTGCTAAAATATGGCGATCTCACCGAACCCGGAAGTACGGTTATTTTTCGGTTAAGTAGAACATCGACACGATTCCTCAGTTTAATCGTTTAAAATTTCTTAACAAACATCTGATACTTTTAAGACGTTTACTGAAAATAACATTCCAGCGCAGACTTTGCCGGCGGGCTTTCAGAAAAACGCATTGTCATGCGTGCAATTTTATTACAATTGCCGGGAATGGCTCATTGATGATGTAATTCATTGAAAACGCTAACTTGGCATATTTTTCACGCGGTTGCTTTGACTCAAAGTGGCTAGCATGGATTTACGTTTTCGACAGGTTTTCTTCGGCAGTTTTTGCATGGTAACATTGCTTCAAGGTAAGTTTCAATGCTGGCATCATGTACGTGTAGTTAATAACGGTAGAACGGAAAAGAGAATTCATAAAGTTTTGAAATTGAATAGTGAAACCGGAAAGTGATGCTCCGAATATATTAGTGCCCTTCGACAACAAAGTTGTGGTTCGATGCGCTGCATTAAAAACTTTCTACGCAGTTGTTAAAAATGTTTGAAATGACTCATCGTTCGCTATTGAGTTCGAAGAAATTTCTAAAGGCATCAACGGCCATTGATTTGTTCAACTACTCTGGAGCTTCCTGCTTTTCTCGGACATATCATACATGATACGAGCAACAAGTAACTGAAGTATCGCTGCGTGACATCCTTGAAAACGACCGCGAACGAGACTATAGTAACTAAACTGAAAGGCATTGAGCGAAGCAGGACTGAAGAAAACGTCAGGGAGAAAATTACTAAATACTTTCTGAAGAATTTGGCGAGTGGCTAGATGGGTTTCCCGTCTGTAACGGCGCCATACCCGACAACTTTAGCGTATGTCGTCAACAGGATTAATTCCCGACGTTTCCTCGAGTTTGTTCTTCGATGGGTGCAGGCTCATTTCCCGAAAAACGGCTGGTAATCGAAGGATAAGAAATGAACAAAGCTAGATTTTTTTGATCATTTAATCTTTTGTTTCACCACGCTGTCGTTACGAACGCCGTCTTGATTTGTCCAAAGTCCCTCGTAGAACATAATAATCTCACTTCAATCAGAAACGGTTTTAAATTTGAAATTGTTTGATGGCATGCTCGGGATTTGAGTCACAAATTTTCACTTGTGGACAAGGGTATTCACACCAAAACGTAGTGATAAGATTGGAGGACGTATTTCTCCGGAAAAAAAACCTCGACAATCGATGGAAACAAATTTCTGGATCCACAATTGCTTGAAAAAAAAAAAAACCAGCAGAGAACGGTTACCCGTCGACATGAATTTGATTGCATCGAAAAGAGGATTTGGTGGCTAAGCATAATGTGTTTACATGATGGTGCTATTTCGCGACATAGTGGATCGCCACGGAAATTTGATGATCGTCTGGTGAAGAAAGGCATTAACATCGGTTTGCTGGGTTGGAAAAAGGGAACTGTTGATAACGGAAAAGAGTAATTGATACGAGTCGGTGTAAATCAGAGAAGGTGTCATTAAAATTGTTGACCATTTGAGCAGAAAGTGAGTTGAAAAAATATGTATTGAGGGAAAATAAGACAATTTAAACTAGTCGTTTATAGGTCATGATTGCTTAGCGATGAATGAGTCGCATTAAAGTTCTCATAACTTATAAAAATATTACACTTGAATCGAGTGTTCTATCAATTAATTATTAATCATTTGATTTGCATTTTCTCATTTCCTTGATTTTTATTTTTAATAGTGGCTGGTAGTATAAGCTTCACAGGGGACATACCAGACCGTACAATAAAGGCCAGACTAGGTGACGATGTCGCTCTGGGCTGGGGCTTCTCATACAACGATTTGGGAGGCAATCCAGGTGGCCCATTTGGTGCTCCAGATGTGTCCGAAATCAGTTTTGGTATTTATAAATCCATACATAGCGAAACTTTCTTGAGCGAGAAACTTGTTGTTGTCAATAGTGGTGGAAATTTTAGTGTGCAAGATGGATTTGATAGAAAAATGGATTGGAGCCACTCAAAATACAAATTAACATTCATTCTGAAAAACATTGCTATCCAAGATCAGGGAATGTACGGAGTGAATGTTGAGCTTGGCTTGAGTCAGCTGCCGCTCAAAGATTCTGTGATTGTTATCATACCAGGACTCTCGTACGTGGTTCAAAATGGCAGCTCGATTGTCCGTAAAGGTAAGGCAAATTAATCCAGTGATATCCTTAACCCTATTTTGTTTATAACTAGTGGTGAAATGTAGACTTCAAAATTCTAATATTCTACCTTTTTTTTTAGAGTCAGCCTACATGATGGAACCTTTTGAACTATCGTTTACAAGATCAGACCACGACCGAACTGCTGACCGTTTCAAGTACACACTCAAAAAAGATACCACAACCATTTTCATTATTGGAAAGAACAGAGAAGATAACACCATCAGTTGCTCTCATTATGTTTCTCAAAAACCTACACCCTGTTCTGATGATTCCTTCTCAGTGAACGAAACTTACGTTTCTTTCAAACTAAGAAATGTTACCTCTCAAGATGCTGGTCGATACCTCTGTATAAAGTATTCATCTGGGCTCTACAATACAACATTCGAGGAAATCGATCTTAATGTACTAGGTAACGTATGCAAGTATGTTTTAATGATTTACTGACACTAGGGCCAGGCTAGTTTTAACCAGAATTGAATTTAAGAAAGACCATTCATTTTCTTTTATACTGCAGTTTGATATTTGATTATTACTTGCTCAACTTAATCCGGGATATTTTTAGCTGCTCTTTATGCAACCCTTCGAAGTTTCTAGTTGGCCTGAAAATCAGTTTATCTTGGTAAATTTCCAGTGTACTGATTCGAACTTGTCATTAATCTTTTCCATCTGCTTTTATGCCTTCTATTAGAGAGACCAACCGTAACTCCCAGCGCAAATAGTAGTTATTCTGGTAAGTATCAATTGTAAACCCTATCAGTAAAGGAGTCCAAAAAGTGAGTTGATAGGAAATTAGAGTATGATGAGGTTGAGTCATAATACAAAGTATGCACAGATGAGCACAGTTAAGTGTAGAGTAGTTTTTTTTCCCCGAATCGTCTCGCAACTTCCGCCGGCGGACTTCGGAGGAAGAATAGGGCTGAAATTGCATGGAGTGGTTAAGTCAGTTTTAAAAATGATTGTGGAGTGGAATGTACAAAGTTGAGCTCAGTGTACTGTAGATGGTGTTCAAGGAGAATGAAGTACTAGGAGAGTCTCAGCTACAGTAGCCTTGCGTGGGATTGGCTTGTTGTAGTCTGTACTAGTGCATCGTACGATTAAGCTAGCTTGTTTTTGGTGAGACAGTGTTTTATTGGTGAGGAAAGGGTAACCTAACCTGATTGCACTTAACTCAAGCCCCGCAGAACGGGTTTCTTCAGGTGAAAAGGTGTACGTGATGTGGAAATGCTCAAGAAGAATAATAATACTTAGCGTCTGAACCAAAAAAGCTCTTCTTGTGAGGCAAATTAGCACGCTGTTAATTATACAGTGTTCCTGGCTTTAATTTGTTCTTAATGTAAAATGACAACAAAAGTAACATAATTATAATATAATTATGAATTCATCCCACTCAAAGCCTTGATTGACTGCAGGTTTCACCACAGCCAGAATCTGATAAGTCTTGTGCGACTCTTTTTCTTTTTTTTACTTACTAAAGCATGCATGCCTCAGATGTCCCATTTTCATTATTGCAGGTAAACCAAATTCAACACAGGCTACAACAGTTACAACCAGTACAGTTTCTAAAGGTAAAAAGGCATTATTCATGCAGCTGGGATGAAAAATTAGGGATTAAATCTAGGTACTTAATGGTTAACAAAAAAGATGGAGTGTGAAGCTAGCTCCATCATATTGGTATAAAAGTAATTCAGTCCATCTGCAAATTGATTCACACATTTAGTTTCACTTAGTTTTCTACTAAGCCACTACACAACATGAGGCAGCTACATATATATCATAGATTGATATACACTCAGGTACTGTTAGCAATTTTTTCTTGAAATAGACATTATACAAGTCAAATATTGGGTTCTTGTATTCAAAAGATATGTAGAAATTTCTCATGAATGATGCTTTTAAATTGGAAAATCCATCCATTTGTCAGTCACTCAGTCCGTTAATCAACACATGCATGAATTATGTAATGCTTATTGATTAAGCTGAAAGTTTAGCTTGAATGCATTTCTTTCATGATATTCTCTGTTAACATATCCTAATAAATTAACCAAGTTGAACACACAATTATTTATATAATCTCAATTGTTACTTCTTCTAAATCATTAGTTGTACTTGCCATTCTTTAACTTTTCTTTTTTTCTTTTGTAAGTACAGGTAGCACAAACCATGCCGTCATCGCAGGTTCAGTTTCTGCTGCAATCGTAGTTGTCATTCTGATTGTTTCTTAGTAGTTTTCAGGACGCACATATTAAGATTGTATTATTTTGCATATACTAGAACATGAAGTGACTCGTCCTAAATAAACTTTACAAATTGAATGTCTTGTATATGTAGTCAGAATAATTATTTCTTTTTAAGGAAAATTCAAATGCTGTTATACAGTTTCAATGAGGGTATATTTTTGTATTTAAATGACCTTTTTAGTTATCAGGTGCATTGGAGTCATTATCCTTGTACTAATTATAAGTTTGATGTAAGAAAATTAAATATGGCTTTTTTTAATGTAAACTGTACACTCAGATAACTGTGTTATAACAATTAGGAGAAGTATTGTTAGCAGGAGACATTATTATAGATGTGATGATGTAATAAATGTTTTCCCGTTTTGTTTGGAAAAACCTTGCTAGAATCCAAAGGTCCAAGCTTGAGCCAGTAATTGGCCAGTTTTTTCAGTCCTATTTTAAGGAGACACACTCCTTTAACAATGCCTCTCTCCAGGAAAATAAATGGATACCAACACGAAGTCAGGTGAACTTAACCCTCTCCACCCTATCATGGGTATTCATATTCTCCATACTGATCTGTATACATTTCTGTGGTGCTAACATGAAGAATTTGCTCACCTACTATGAGCCTCTCATGTTGGTGATCATTCTCTTTATTATCATGACCTTACAATGTTTGACTGAGCAGTGATTTTAGATGCCAATCACTCTTAGGGGTTAATAGGGTAACTTGTTGAATTACTGGGGTAGTTTTCTTGAATTAACAACCTGTCCTGGAAGATTAGCATTAATAATTGTCTCAGTCACTGCGTACTGGAGACGAGAGGATATTGTCAAGCTCTGACACCTCATAGGCTGCTAGTTCCTAACACAGACTTACAATGCAGATAGACTGTTAAAAAAACCAAACAAGAGGTTCTGCCTCATGTGATTGCAGTGTGTATCATGGTCATTGCATCACAAAAAATCCCTCTTAAAGAAAGAAAGCTGAAAATGACAAATGGGTCATCCCCTTCCACTTCTGGGCAACTCTCTACAAATTTTAATTTTTGAGGATTTGTCCGAGAAAATTGGGTTAAAATTCCCCTGACAATCACATTTTCTTTAATTGAATGATTCTTTGTGTGATCTATTAATGTGGACGAATTTAGCAGTCACCTCTTAGTTTTTGCTGCAGCAGAGTGTTTGGATTTTTGCTTTTTTTTATCACCATTCTATTATGTGAAAATTTTCTTGAATGACATTTGCTCGCAAAAGCTGATTCTTAACCTTTAAACTCGTCCATATTTAATATCAAAACTCATGTCTTCTTCTGTTTCATATTCCCTACCCCACCCAGGCAAGGTTAAAAAATGTCCCACCTTGGAGTATGGAAGAGAGGGGAGGGAGGTGTGGATGTTGAAGCTTTAAATTAATTAGTGCATAAACCGTAAGAAAGTATTTTTATTAAAAACTAGATCATTAGATTTCAATCCCCATGCCCATAGAAATCCTTTATCTTCACCCTTTGTGCAACATAAACAGATATGCATACTTATCAACTTTATTAGGCTCATTGTATGAGCAAGGGCTACCTGTAGTAGGGTTCATGACCAATTGTCAATTACAATTTTCACTATCTCACTTTAAATTTACCAACTTAATTCCCTACCTTTGTAAAATTTTATTCCAGAAATATTCCCATGCAAGCTGTAGCAATCATACCAAGAGAATTTAATGTTCTATTCAACCCAAACCATATTTATTCTAATCCTAATTAGGATATTGTATTTGACAAAGGAAAAATTTTTAACAACCATTTGGTTGTTATACATTTTAGGCAGTGCGGCCAAGTGGTTAGGGCACTGGACTTGTTATCTGGTGGTCCGGGGTTCAAGTTCAATATATTTGTAAGGTGAAATACAATGAATGTAACTGATTTTTTACTGCAAAATTACTACTAAGGCAGGGCCTTACAAAAAGCATTGAGAGCTAATGAAAATAATACAGCCTCAAAGGAAATAATTTACTACATATACAGATTTATTTATTTGTTGTTAGCATAAATAAAACCGACAAACCCTAATTAAGAAATGACGTCACATATATTCTTCCATGTCATTGGTTTGTTGAGGAACTTAGTTGCTGAAGAGTAAGGTTCATACTACAAACCAAATCTGGCTGGTTTACACAGTAACTTATGTCCCAAAGAACTCATTGAAAATGTATTTGAGATCAGAATGATTCATTCAGGAACTAGGATACCTAAGCTGTCAAGTACATTTTTCAATGGGGATGTGCTTTTTGTCATTTCTTGGTAGTAGCACAAGTACAACATTGCAATTCCTCCAATCAGGAATAAAACTGCAACAGCCCCTGCCAATAGTAGCAGGGATGACAGCCTCATTTTTGTTGCCAGTTCCTAAAATTAATAAATGACATAATAACAAGTTAGTTATACCTTCATGGAATTGCCGTCCAAATGTTGACATTTAAGATGTGTTTGTGCGGTCCTGCATAACTATTGTGATGTTTACAATACACTGTGGTTGGCTGCAGCTAAATAGCCAAAAGAAAAACAATTCATATACGAAGTGAATTAATAGTTACTTGGAGTTTTAGCTACTGTCACAGCTATTGGGTTGTTAGTAGTTTTATCATTTTCCGCAAGGCTTGCCGGTTAGTTTTAGAGTTATGTTATTTGTTAAGAAATTCAAATGACCTTATACGGTTAAATTTCTCGGAAACAATATCATGAAAATAATGGCGAATATCAACAAAACATCAGATAGATAGTCAGGGTTTGAAACTACTTTTCTTTTAAGTCTGAAAGTCCTCTTCTCCGAGTCACAACCATTAAAAATAGCTGCATTGGTATCACAACTAAGAAAATCCGAGATTCCATTAAGCGGTGAATCGACCCTCCGTATCGAACGAAGGCGACGATGATTTCAGCTACTCTCATCATGTCTCTGTGGCTCCCAGGTAGGTTTAAGAACACAGTGTTGACATTGTCAGTAATCAAACGATTCCTTCATTCTTTTCTTTTTTTTCATCGTGACCTTTTACAACAATGCAACTCATCTCACCATTTAACTGAAGCCGACGATCGGATAAACGCACAAACCCGGAAGTGCCTCTTCGTCATACCACCTTAAATTAGGAAATTAAGTCTAAACCGGAATTATGTACATTTGTAGCCTGATTTTAACACTGGAAACAATATTTAAAGCAATTGATGCTTAACACAGACAAAAAAAGGTTTTTTCGTTCTAGATTAACTGCTTAAGGTGAAAGTGAAAGTAATCATCAATAAGAGAGAATTTAATGTTTGGTGTACGGAAGATATATTAAGACTTACTAGATTTAACAAAGTCTAAATTAGAATGAAAACATTTCGAATTTCCAGACCTGAAAGCAAGGATTTTGCGACCCAACAGAGAAATCTGAAAAACAGGATCGGCAAACGGTTGGTTTAAGAAAGAGATGACCACGAACTATATTTTTGAAGCGGCTGAAGACACTGCTTGTGGAAGACCTTTCATAAATAATTAAATGACCGTATGTTTAGCGATGTAGTCGCTACCGGTTTATTCTAAAAAATATTCAAAAGCTAAAGAGCGACATCTGAACTACGATTTTTGATAAATATTCAGGTGATTTATTTCCGAGAAAGAACAAGACAAAGAGAAAGGCCATTGTTTAGTTTCAGTCTGTGCATAAATCAATCGACAGTGTCTCAGTACACGAATGGAAAATAAGGAATCTAGAATTATGGAAATGAAATACGCGGAAACTACAAATCGTTAACACGCACCTAGAGACCATTTGCATTTGATCAGTCTACTTGTCAAACTGATACATTATTAGCTTTTTAAAAAACTTCTAGAGCAATTCCGTTACAGGGAAAAAGTACGGAAGGAGTTCTTCGGTCTTTGGTCAACGGAGAGATTTGACAACTTAGCTTACGAAGTCGCTTCTGATTCTGCATTTAGGCAATAATAACCATTCTATTGTTTTTCTTTTCCATTTCTTTCCACGATTTAACAGTATTTTGCCAAGGAGGGCATCCTAAAATTGTTTCTAGACCAAGTGATCCCCTGATTGCTCGTAGCGAAGACAAAGCTACGCTTAATTGGACGCTTGGGTTGCTTCCCTCAGAGACGTGGAATAGTAGCATATTTGAAGTGGCGTTTGGAATCTGGAAAGATCCAGGATTCCTGAAAACAAAACTCTTGGCCATCGATAGACATGGTGAGGTACTGATAAGACCAAACTACGAAAAGAAAATTAGCTGCGACTTTAACATGTCCAAGCTTCAAGTTGCATTCACACTCCATGGTTTAACCATGAAGGATGAGAATCACTATTGTCTTCAGGTTGAGCTTGGCCTTCATCAGCCTCCTTTGACGGATCCTGTGATGCTTCTTCTTGAGGGTAATATGTTTGTTACATTTCATTTGTGGAGGAATGCCACAGACCCGGAAGCGGGGTACTTGGGTAAATATGTTCTGAGTATGTGCCCCTGGCCACTCAGAGCCCCTTGCCCATAGTCTTTCAGTGGCCAATTATGGACCCCATCTTAGCCACTTTTGAGAAAATGTGATGGCTTTCCTTCTTTGACTTTCACTTCTGATTTAGAAAAACCTTATTCTCAAATATCTAAACAGATTCTCCTAAGATAACCAGTCCCAAACAGGAAAACTTTTCCGTGAACGTTGGGGACAACTTGCGAATAAACAGCCAAGCAAAGGGTCTTCCTGCACCTAACATAACATGGACGAAACAGGGGAGAATTGTTGGTAATGATACATTGATTGTCAATGGAGTAACGCCAAATGACAGCGGAGTCTACTTGTGCAGCGCTCACAACCAGGCTGGTGAAGATCATAAGGAGATTGTGGTTACGGTTTTGGAGCATAATTATGGATCACAAAAGCTAACAGGTTTTAACAATTTGTTTGTCGAAATAAATACCCATGAACTAGATTGCTAATGCATATTCTTATGTTGGTGACTGAATTTTCATTTTCAGAGCGTTTCCATTGGCGTGCTCTGTGTTAAACGATTTGAAAATTACAAACACTCCCTCACTAGAAACCGAATGGAATCATTACCTATTCAAGGAGTTAGTTTCTCTGATCTTTTTTAAGCTAAGGATCTCTTTCGCACAAGTCATGATATCGACCACATCAGTGTCCCTGTAATCTTAAGCAGTCCACATTACTCTAACAAGGTCCCACAATTTGATACCTTCTCCTGATATCGATCATCGGTTCGATTAACTTATTTATACGTTTAAAAAAAAAGTTTTCAATTTTCAATTTTCTGAATTGGCCAAGCCGCTCATTCACAATTTAATTACAGACAGACTGATAACCGAGGTGGCCCCCCCTGGCCTCTCCTCTAGTCTTTGAGGTCTCTTGTTGTTGAATTTGTATAAATATTACTTCTGAAGCTGCTCAGAAATAATGACGACGATTATAATGATAATCATCCTTCCTGCTAAAGTGCTTTCTAACTTTTTTCTAGTTCCTCATATGCCAACACAAACATCACATGATAGAGGAAGTCCTGTGTGGTTATTTCCAGTAGTCATAGGTGTGTCAGTTTTTTTAATAGCTGCAGTGGTTGTCTTTCGCTCGCGTGGGCACCGCTGCAAAAGGAACCTCGCTTATGAGCAGCATATTGATGAAAAAGCATCAGGTGAGCACTTCACAACTGCCGAGATCTAGCCTAGAGCCGATGAGGAGGCTGCGAGTTAGTGACTGAACAGTATACCTTGATCATACTCTATCATGGAATGCATCATTAGCTGGTATACCGAAATAGTATCAAAAGCAGCTGTGCAATTTCTCCAATTTTTCCTCTTTCTTAACCTCCTGCCGGTTTCTGCTCCTAAGCCTCTAAATTGTCTCCACTGATCCGATAATTCTCGTAAGTTATAAATAAAACTTGCGTAATTGTAGTACACTATAAGCGTGCTTTAAAATGATTGCTAAGGAAAAATAGAAAACTTTAAAACAGATCAATTCATGTTATTGACGGGACAAAATTTTCTCATCGAGAAAATGAGAAATGAGTTGCTTTGACAAAAATCGTCTACTAGTCTTTGAATAACATTCTGACGCACCTATTTGATGAGTGCATCGGTACTCAAAATCCTTTGTTTTACAACGTTAGTTCGGAACACAACCCAATCACTGAAAAAATTCCAAGAACTTGCAACTGAATTGTTTGCTACCTTAATTGGCATGGAAAGGCTTGATAGGAGAGAACTTTTAAAAATTAAAACCTGTAATCTGGCCTAATTTTGGTAAATAAAGCAAGAATACAATTTTCTGCGCTACATGTATATATATATTTTTTTTTTTTTTTTCCAAAAAGCAACACTTTTAAACAACACGTTTCCTTGTATCCAAGGGTTATAGAACAAGATATCATAAAATGCAAAAGATTTGCCTTTTTAGTAAGGGCGACTGTACCAAACGGTCGACAATGAATTCCGTAAAAAACTATCAAAACAGTTTGATCAAATATGGTGTGCCTTTTCGTTTCTTTTAGAAATGTTTATAAGTTCAATCCTGTCGTTTCAGTGAACAATCTCGAAAACGGAAAGAGCCTTCGAGCTTCAAGCAATAAAGGAAGCTACATGCAGGGTGAATTACAAGTGATTTGGCCCGACAACCAACCCTTGTAGTAATCTCCATTTTAATTTATAAACACTACTAAGATAAACTTTCATAAAGCTTGGTTTGCTTTTAGCTTTTGCTATAAATACAGGATAGGAGTCGCATACGGTTCAGAAGAATGCGGATGCATTTACCTGTTGGTGAGAGAATCAGAAAAGTGTACGAAGCCTTACCAAAAACACATCAAAATTCGCTGGAGAGACGCCAAAATAAGTTTTAACCCTTTAACTCCCAGGAGTGATCAAGACGGAATTACTCCTTACAATATCAATACAATATCAACCAGATAAGTGATGAAAACAAAGAAAAATATCAATTTGGGGATAATGAGTCGATGCAATACTAAATTATTTGAACTAACATTGTAAGAATTGTATGGTTGACGGTAAGGAGAGTAAGAACTTTTAAGAACTTTTCTCTGTCTCCATCTAAATCAAGCTCCTGCTGCTTAACCCTTTAACTCCTATGAGTGACCAAGACAGAATCTCTCCTTACAATATCAACACAAAATCAAGCAGACGAGTAAGGAGAAAATAGAAGAAGGGAGACTACAAGTTGATCCAATACCAAATTCTCCAAATTGAAATGATTAGTAGTTTATGGCAGACAGTAGGGAGAATTCCTTAGACATCTTGGGAGTTAAGGGAGTTAACAATCACAGGTAGACAGGATGCTTTATGAAGAAAGACACTTCTCAGAATTTCATTGCTGACGTGTCACGCCATGAAAGCCCGACAGAGCGGGCTTCCCTGCAATCAAAACTTTTCTAAGAATCACATCTAACAATATCAAGTGATCTTAAAAATTATGCTTGTCTTTTGATAGACAAAATACCCAAATTTGTGCATACTATAAAATCGATATGTTGTCCTCTTTGAATTATGGGGACAGTACGGTTGTCAGAAATTAAATATTGACCAAACTTCCGCGGAAAACTTCATGCAAACCTCTTGAGACTCTCCGATTCCTTGTTTCGGCCGACACTCCGAGCGATTCTAAGATCTCGGCTCTTAATTCAGTTGGTTCAAGATTCTACGGTTTCAAGGACCAGTTAAGACATAGCGATTTCACTGTACCCTGAAGTACGGTTATTTCGTAAAGTAGAACATCGACACGATTCCTCAGTTGAACTGATTAAATTTCTTAACAGACATCTGATACTCCTAAGATGTTTACAGGGCATTCCTGGGAACCAAGAAAATGCACTGTCAGGGTCGTGGATTTTATTACAATAGCGCATGGATGATGCAATTCAATAAAACGCTAACTCAACATATATCTAGTGGCTGTGATGGATTTACGTTTGCGCCAAGTTTTTCTTCGGCAGTTTTGCATGGTGACATTACTTCAAGGTAAGTTTTAATGCTGGCAGCATGTACGAGGAGATGATAACGTTAGTAAGTAAAATAGAATCTATAAAGCTTTGAAATTGAAGATGAAATCGGAAAGTGATGCTCCAAATATGTTCGTGCCCTTCGACAACAAAGTTGAGGTTCGAAGTGCTGCGTTGAAAACTTAACACACAATTGTTAGAAATATCTGAAATGACTCATCGTTCGCTACTGAGTTAGAAGAAATTTCTGAAGGCATCCACAGCCATTGATTTTCAAGAGCTTCCTGCTTTTCTAGGAAATATCATATATGATACGAGCAACAAATAAAACGACTGCGAACGAGACTAAAGTAACCCAGCTCAAAGGCATTGGGCGAAGCAGAACCAAGGAAAACGTCGAGGAGAAAATTGTTAAATACTTTCTGAAGAATTTGACGAGTGGCCGAATGGGTTTCACGTCTCTAGCGGCGCCAAACCCGACAATTTTAGCTGATGTTGTCAACAGGATTAATTCCCGACGTTTCCTCGAGTTTGTCCCTCAATGAGCGCAGACTCATTTCCCGAACAGCGGCTGGTAATCGAAGGATAAGAAATGTACAAAGCTAGATTTTTTTATTATTAAATCTTTTGTTTCACCACGCTGTCAGTTAAGTCCCTTTGTATAACTTAAGGACCTCATTTCAATCAGAAACGGTTTTAAATTTGAAATTGTTTGATGCATGCTTGGGATTTGAGTCACAAATTTTCACTTGTTAGCAAGGGTATTCACAACAAAACGTAGTGATGAGATTGGAGGACGTATTTCTCGAGAAGAAAAAAACCTCAACAATCGATGGAAACAGATTTCTGGATTCAAAATTTTTGAAAAAAAAAAAAAAAAAAAACAAAACAAAGAACGGTTACCCGTCGATATGAACTTGATCGCATCGAAAAGAGGATTTGGTGGCCAAGCATAATGCGTTAACATGATGGTGCTATTTCGCGACATAGTGGATCACCACGGAAATTTGATGATCGTCTGGTAAATGAAAAGCATTAACATCGGTGTGCTGGGTTGGAAAAAGGGAACTGTTGATTATGGAAAAAGAGTAATTGACACGAGTTGTAAATCAGAGAAGGTGCCAATAAAATTGTTGACCATTTGAGTAGAGAGTGAGTTGAAAAAATATGTTTTAAGAAAAATCAAGACAATTTAAACTAGTCGTTTTACAGGTCATGATTGCTCAGCGATAAACAGAGTCGCATTAAAGTTTTCATAACTTACAAAAATATTACACCTGAATTGATTGTTCTATTAATTAATTATTAATCATTTGATTTTGTATTTTCTCATTTCCTTGATTTTTTTTTTTTTAATAGTGGCTGGTAGTATAAACTTCACAGGGGACATACCAGACCGTACAATAAAGGCCAAACTAGATGACGATGTCGCTCTGGGCTGGAGCTTCTCCTTACAACGATTTGGGAGGCAATCCAGGTGGCCCATTTGGTGCTCCAGACGTGTATGAAATCAGCTTTGGCATTTATAAATCTATACATGGCGAAACTTTCTTGAGCGAAAACTTGTTGTTGTCGATAGTAGTGGAAAGTTCAGTGTTCAAGCTGGATTTGATAGAAAAATGGATTGGAGCCACTCAAAATACAAATTAACATTCATTCTGAAAAAACATTGCTATCAAGATCAGGGAATGTACGGAGTGAATGTTGAGCTTGGCTTGAGTCAGCTGCCGCTCAAGGATTCTGTGATTGTTATCATACCAGGACTCTCGTACGTGGTTCAAAATGGCAGCTCGATTGTCCGTAAAGGTAAAGGCAAATTAATTCAGTGATATCCTTAACCCTATAAAACTAATGAAATGTAGACTTCCAAAATTCTGATATTCTAATTTTTTTAGAGTCAGCCTACATGATGGAACCTTTTGAACTATCGTTTTACAAGATCGGAACACGACCGAACTGCTGACCGTATCAAAAAACACTCAAAAAAGATAACACAAAACATTTTCATTATTGGAAAGAACA